CACTTCAATTCGATCCAGTTATTTTTTCAAGTGCATAATTTACCTAGAAAAAAACGAAGAACAAAAAAGTGTTAATTAACTTCTAAATTTATCTAAATAAATATTCATTTTTATTCATTTTTATTCATTTTTATTCATTTTTACTCTAGGACTTTAATGAACAAGGAAAATATTTGAACAATATCTATTTATAATTCAAAGAAACGAGTTTTGGAACTAATGTCCCCTGTAATTCAAAGAAACAAGTTTTGGAACTAATTGTAATTCAAAAAAAAGGAGTTAAATGAATTAATATTTTTTCTTTTTGTACCTTGACTCTATTTTGAACTTGACAGATATTTTTGTTAAATATCTTAAAGGCTATTTTTAATTGAGAACTTTTTAAATATTAGAATTTGTTTATTTTTAGAAGGAATCTTTTTTGAATGTGAACAGTTTCTTAAAAAGAAAACATTCATATATATTACATTATATTCTGTTTCTCACGTTATAATACAGTATTAAATATATATATATGCACTTAATATTTAAATCTTATATGCTTTCAATCATATTTAAGAAGTATTAAGACGAACAAACACGTGTATGAAACCAGATGAAGGAGCTTTTCTCAGACTTGTCAATTATTTGTTAAATCAAAACTAGAGAAGCTTCGAGGTCGCTAATATCGTACCAGTAATGAAACCAGATAAAGGAGCTTTTCTCAGACTTGTAAATTATTTGTTAAATCAAAACTAGAGAAGCTTCGAGGTCGCTAATATCGTACCAGTAATGAAACCAGATAAAGAGGCTTTTCTTAGACTTGTAAATTATTTGTTAAATCAAAACTAGAGAAGCTTCGAGGTCGCTAATATCGTACCAGTAATGAAACCAGATGAAGGAGCTTTTCTCAGACTTGTAAATTATTTGTTAAATCAAAACTAGAGAAGCTTTGAGGTCGCTAATATCGTACCAGTAATGAAACCAGATGAAGGAGCTTTTCTCAGACTTGTAAATTATTTGTTAAATCAAAACTAGAGAAGCTTCGAGGTCGCTAATATCGTACCAGTAATGAAACCAGATGCAGGTGCTTTTCTCAGACTTGTAAATTATTTGTTAAATAAAAACTAGAGAAGCTTCGAGGTCGCTAATGTCGTACCAGTAATTAAACCAGATGCAGGTGCTTTTCTCAGACTTGTAAATTATTTGTTAAATAAAAACTAGAGAAGCTTCGAGGTCGCTAATGTCGTACCAGTAATGAAACCAGATGCAGGAGCTTTTCTCAGACTTGTAAATTATTTGTTAAATCAAAACTAGAGAAGCTTCGAGGTCGATAATGTCGTACCAGTAATGTCCATTATGTCGTAAAAAGGAATTGAGTCTTTGCCACAAACTCAGATTTTCTAATCCCTATATCTTTGCAACCCAATGCCGCAGACCTTAGATATTTCAAACTATAAATTCTGGTAGATCAGATAATCTAAGTTTGAAATATCAAAGGTTTGCACCATCAAGTTGCTAGGAAATAGGGATTAGAAAATTTGAGTTTGTGACAAAGGCTCAATTCCTTCTGTCTAGTTTGCAGTGATAGGAAACCCTTAATCTATTTCAATTTTAATAAACTTTTTTTGGCAAGGTAAATCATGTATAAAATCACTTTTATACAAGCTGAGTCTTAAAAACTAGAATTTTACGAAAAATACATGAGATATCTATGTTTTTAGCTTAGAAAATTAATTATATTTAATTGTAGTTTCTCTAAAAGTTAACTGTAAAGGAAGGGAAGCAGAAAATAGTATAAAAGAAGAGGATTAAGAAGAAATGCAAAGATTAGGAAGCAATAATGAAAGATAAAGAGTAACAAGTGATGTTGAGGTTTGAATAAAATTAACTTGAAGTTGAAAGCTTGAAATCTGCTGAAATGATGTAGAGTTGCATCATCGTAATATCTGTCAAAGCATAATCAGGCAGAACAGGCAGTTATGAAAGCAAAGAAAAGGGCATACACTCTTGTTAACCATTAATTTTAAAACCTCTATAAAATGTCGTCTTCAACTTGAATCTCCTGTCGGAGACAGCCAAACCAAATTTTCAGCACGCAATTCCCTTGTCCTCCTCCGACGGAGCTTAAAATATTTTCGTTGTTGTGAAATCATTAAAGTTAAGCAAAATATTTTCATAAGAAGCATTAGTGAATTTCGTTAAATATTCAACTGTAATTTTTCAGAAGTTAAAAAAAATGTATTTCAATACTGATCAACAAATAAGTCACCCCCGACTATCCTTAAATAATTCGTAAGATTTTTTCTACTATTAACATTCATTATAACATTGTACAAGTAAACATGACCTATAATTTATGTTATTTTTTAGGAAATAAAGATTTTGTTATCGAATTTCTGAGACGGGGTTACTCTGTTGTGTGTGTATTTGTGCGGCCTATCGGGAAAGAATTGTCTGGGGATAATAAACATCCCCCACCAGAATCCTAACCGGCCTATTATCCTGATTTGTCTAGCGTGTTGCTGCTTTCCGTCAACAACTCTATATTGAGATTCAAAAGATACAGACTGTCCCACAAAATACAATAGTTTTGAATATTATCTTTATTACTAATTCTTAAATTGTTCAATAAAGAACAACAAGACACATGCTGAGCTCTTGTACAGGGTGTCCCAAAAAACATGGGAATTAAGTGACGCCTTAAAAATGATATTAGATTTCTAATAGTGGATAAATAGATGAACCATCTAAAGATCGTAAATCTTTCTCTTAACCTTCAAAATTGATGGAGATATCAACGTTTTTGTTATTCAAAAAAATAAAAAATTTACCAAAATCTTGATGGTGCGATAAGACTAGTAGTTTTTCAATTTAATTTTTCATCTTATTGTGGAAGAACATTCCCGTGAGCCTCCCGAGTTCCCCCAATCAAAATTTTAGGCCAATCGGTCCAGGGGTTGGATATAAAGCAAAATGGATCTGTTGTTGGAAAGCTCAAAATCTGCAATCTTTAAGGGCAATTTTTATTGTGGTCACTCAATTCCTACGATAGTTAGTATTAGCCTAACTAAAAATAATTTCCCATCAAAAAGATTTCCTTAAAGCTATACGTTTCTTTTATATTGTCCGTAGTGCAATACATATATTAAATTAGTAATCTTCCATAGATTAAAAACTGTCCAAACAAGACGACTTTTATTAGATGCTTTTTGAATTATGATTTAAGATCCCCCCCAGTCCATGTCTCAATCTATTAAATATCTCTTTTTTGCCCCACAGCATGCACAGCCCCTGCCCCCCCCCCTTCTCTAAATAAAAATGGAGTTGAAATTTTGGATTCTTTTTAGAATGTTTTATTGAATACATTTTGCAAGGGAAGGGCTCTTAAAATGTCCTTTTAATATTTTTGGCAAGCAGAGGGCTTTAAAAGCTGAATGCCGGACAATCCTAAATGTCGAGGTTGAAACTAAACTTAAAAAAATATACTTCACAATTTTTCCCAATAAATACTGATTATTTTCTATTGAGTTTGGACAAAAGAGTGTTAACAAATGTTTTACATTTTTGTTAACACCCCCTGTTGATTTAAAAAGTTGTTTTGCCCAGATTTCCCCAAGTTTACCGTTAGGTGAACAGTAACCGAGGAGGATGAGTTAGTTTTGAAGGACTCGAGGCTGCTTATCCAGCCTCAAACTCGAGGATAAAAATCCAAGCTCGAAGCCGAGGATTCGTAAAGTTATGTTTAAGTATTCGAATGCCAGTAAAGGAAGAAACGATGAATATCTGCTCAAACGACCGAATGTAAGTAATACTTTTTTAAGTTGTAAGCAAACTAAAGTAACGATTTCTGAATCATTATTTAACATTAAAGTTTTTTATTTCATTTATTAGAATTGAATATAGGATGTCCCACGAAACATGACTGATGGTTAATTGTTTTACATGTCTTCTTCCATATACTGTATAAGATATTAAAGACGTTTTGCAGTTTATTTCGTTAAACAAAACTAAAATATGTTTTATCTTTTTTATCAATTTTACTACAATATGACGACCATGTACTATTTTTTCATAATTCTCTTTGGCATCAAAGAATTTTAAAAATCATTTAAAATTAATCACCAACTGTCATCTTTCCTTGGACACCCTGTACCATGTATTAAATGGTTTAATTGGCAGGAAAGACATTTACTTCTCTTTAATTTTACCATTAAGGGTTTGCTTTGAATAAAGAGAAAATTCAAAACGCATAACAATTGATAAAATATACTTTTTATGTGTATTTATTAACATTTAGTCATAAACCTATGTATGTTCATTTATTTACAGGAACTATAATTGTATCACAATTTCTGTTTCACACATTAAGATCACATAAATTAATATTGACATATGTATATCGTATATACTGTATATATGTTGATACCTTGTACAATAAAAGCATAGAGTATGGATTGTAAAGGCAAAATCAATTTTCTTCATTTATAACTTTTTTCATTTTCAATTTTCTATTTGCATTATATATATAGTAACATTATTGATTTATAATTTACAGAGAAAATCTCCCTTTCAAGTTCCTCTAGTTCTTCACGGTCTTCACGGTCTAAACGGTCTACACGGTCTACACGGTCTACACGGTCTACACGGTCTACACGGTCTACACGGTCTACACGGTCTTCACGGTCTACACGGTATACACGGTCTCCAAGGTCATACACAGCAAGCATTGAAAACAATAATATATAAACTAACAGTGGCTTCATTTCAACCTTTAAATTCTTCACACATTAGACTAGAAAATAGATGATTTTTCACCGGTAAAATTGAGTTAAACAAAATAAAGTAGAGACAATATTTCATGACTTAAAATATACTTAGACTTACAATATCAAGAAATGGTTGAACTGGCTTAAATTAGTTAAACCTCTTTTCGCGATTCATTTATTCCAACCACAGTTTAATTTAAACCTTATTAATCCTGTTTCCTACATACAGCCTGTTTCATTAAAAGTTGTAACTTCGACGCTTATTCTCTATTATGTTATGATAACATGAATATTTATGGCTACATTGTATATCCTGTATATGTTATCGATGCATATTTATGGCGACATTGTATCCTGTTTATGTTGTCGATGAGTATTTATGGAGACATTGTATCCTGTATATGTTGTCGATGAGTATTTATGACGACGTTCTATATTGTATATGTTGTCGATGAATATTTATGGCGACATTATATCCTGTATATGTTGTCGATGAATATTTATGGTGACATTGTATCCTGTATGAGATGTCGATGAATATTTATGGTGACACTGAATCCTGTATATGTTGTCGAATGAAAATACTGATTGGAGATTTATTTATTGAATACTGGTGAACTAGAGCTGTATCATCATATTCAACATCATCACTATAGATAAAACCATTTTTAAACATTTAATTATAATAAACAATTACGTAATGAGCCAAAATTGTGTAAAACTAATACTGCTGTTGCACAACTTGTTTATTGATAAAATTCTAGAAAAATATTTCTCTAAAAACATGTTTATCCAAAACATGGCAACAATTCGTAGAAAAGTAACATTTAAGGAAGATATCAGTAGGGAAGGAAAGAAAGGGCAGCAATAAGTTGTATGCGTCTGAAGCCTAGAGCGTTATTTCAAGTGACCCTCCATATGATCCATGATTCGCATCGATAACCCCTTAAAAGCCTTGTCTGATTAACCAGTTTTAAACCTGAAAAAACGACGATATCTTTCACATTATTAATCATAAACTGTTTCAAAGGTACCGTTGTGAATCGGGGATTGCAATCTTTGCATGTAAGGTCATTAATATCATTAATGCATGATAAATAAATAAAACATTAAAATGGAGTTAAAGAAAGGAAGCCGAAATTAATGAATGGTTTAAACTTTAAAATGGTTTCCTTAGAACAGGTTCACCCAAACCCATAAATCCAGAGTTCAAATCCAAGCATGATCTGTAGTGATTCAACATCGCTATCTAAACATACTTATATATTGTAATGAAAAACAACAAAAAAGAATTAAAGCATGCATATAAAAACAGCTTTTATAAGCTATCCAGGCTCTCCTGCTTCAGTAGTTTTCCATATATTTATTGTAATTATGTTTTCTTAATATTTAATTACGATTCTTAATGCAGTTAATTATATAATATGATTTGATATGAGCATTTAAATTCTTCTGAATTTATGTAGGAACTCAGGATATTTTCCTTTTGGGGAATATAAAATCTATATTTGAATTTGGCTTGGGTCTTTATCCAATAAAGGTCAAAACGACTGAAGGTTTACGAACGCTTAATAATAAAAACTTTTGTCTGGAAAAAATGTCGATTTTTAAAATTTTAAGGAATCTTGTAAGGGTAACAGAAAAATCCGCTATATTTAGAGCTAAAATTGTTGCTGGAAGAGGTGCGCGAAACACTATGAAAGAATAGTTTTATATAAATATCTGCCCTACCTGATGAGGTACAGGATAGTTTTATATAAATATCTGCCCTACCTGATGAGGTACAGGATAGTTTTATATAAATATCTGCCCTACCTGATGAGGTACAGGATAGTTTTATATAAATATCTGCCCCACCTGATGAGGTACAGGATAGTTTTATATAAATATCTGCCCTACCTGATGAGGTACAGGATTATAGTTTTATATAAATATCTGCCCTACCTGATGAGGTCCAGGATAGTTTTATATACATATCTGCCCTACCTGATGAGGTACAGGATAGTTTTATATAAATATCTGCCCTACCTTATGAGGTACAGGATAGTTTTATATAAATATCTGCCCTACCTGATGAGGTACAGGATAGTTGCAGGAATTCACAGGATCCACGAACTCAAAAATACTGAAATATCATTTGTTAGAAACAAACAAACGAAATATGGAAACTGAATATTTTTAAAATAGGTTTAAGAATACCTGTGATGACCTACAGCTATAGCTGTCATTGTTCTCACCAACATTTTAGCTCGCAGACGGGGACTCCAGATAGATTTCTATAAAGAATGTAGAGTGTAGAGTGTGGAGTGTAGAGTGTAGAGTGCAGAGTGTAGAATGTAGAGTGTAGAGTGTAGAGTGTAGAGTGTAGAGTGTAGAGTGTAGAGTGTAGAGTGTAGAGTGTAGAGTGTAGAGTGTAGAGTGGGGGGGTGGTACCCCTGTGCCCCCCAAGACATGCACCCCGTAGGCCCCCCTACAGCCAGAGGCAAGCTCTAATTTATTAAACAGTAAACTTACAGAGTGTATAGTGTAGAGTGTAGAGTGTAGAGTGTATGTAGAGTGTAGACTGTAAATTGCATACAGAGTGTAGAGTGTAAAGAAGAAAGTTTACCTGTCTAGAAAGTATTTTAAAAATGTCAAAGTTGTTTTCATAATCAACTTTTTTATTAAATTCGGAGCAAAAAAAGGTGTTTCGGAACAAAAAGTTGTCAACATTCTTTCCCTGAAAAATGACATTATATTTTTATTATCTTCGAAACATTTATCTAGAAGAGTTTTTACCTGACCACTGTTAATACTCTCAAGTGCTCGACTCACCAGTACATCAGTCTTATTCCTAGCTGCAGTTGTATACCTACTCATAACATCAAATATAGGATTCATAATCTGATTCCTAGCTGCAGTTGTATACCTACTCATAACATCAAATATAGTATTCATCATCTTATACGTTTCTATTCAATTATATGGGTCAATAAATCAATTAAGGAATTGAGTCTTAACACCAACTCAGATTTTATAATCATCTTTGCAAATTGTAACCAATGTCATAGACCTAAGATATTTCAAACTGTTAGATCAAATAATCTAAGTTTATACAGAATAGAAAATTTGAGTTTATGTCAAAAACTCAAATCCTTCGATTTCAGTCTGCAAATTGATAATTACATGAATGATTAAATGCTTACTTAACTTGTTGATACAATTTAAAAATAGAAGTTTTGGTGACATTGTTCAGTTCCTTTAAATTGATAAAACACTATACCTGGGCATTATGTATTCATCTAGATCTACTATATATGTATACTCATACTCAGACATACCACTACAATTAAATATACATATATATATATATATATATTTCAGTTTTTTAATTTCACATTTAAAAAAAAAAGAATTATACCAAAAATAATGTTTCACGCCTCGTGACGATCCTCAGTAGTCAAAATATATATATTCTTAGCAGCTAAAAATTACTTAGGTTAACCAAATTTTCATTTATATTTATATCTTTTTAGTTTTTTGGTTCACATTAAAATTTTTTTTTTTGATAGTTATAATGTTTGGTGTTGTATAAATAAAATATTTTCCCTAGGGTGGCCGGCTTAATACAGGTAGTTAAGAAAGACAATTTGCTGAAAAACAAGTATTTAAGAAGTTACCTATATAAGCAGTCAGTAAGAAGAGTAAGGGCACCGTAGTCCCATAAAGATTTCGAATTGATTTTTAGTTCTTCATCGAGATCCCAGAATACTAAATAGATCAGTATGCAAACACCATCTTTAAATAAGAATTATCTCAATTCTTAACTTAATTTTTGTTTAATTCTCAATCAATTAATCAAATGCTGCTTAAGACTCTGTTATGACTCCAGCAGGAACTGATGGCTCGTCTCAAACTCATAATCCTAATATCATTGTTACCAGATCCCCTTGACCATTGGTATTTCATTCAATGACTTTTGCTTGATAAAATAGTGAAAGTTTGTAGTTGCAAAGAAAATTTAAGTTTTAAGTGAGTAATAACAGTTATAGTTCCTTTGAAATAATAGATTATCTGAATCAGATTCAGCATTCACTAATTCGATCCAAATAAAAACGTCCAAAGAAGAATCTAACCCAGTCGAAGTTGAATATTGAGGTCGTCTTGTTTGTTCTGGAGGTTAGCAAGGAACTCGAGGATGGCCGGGGTGACCTCTAGGAGATAGAAACTAAACCTCTCTACACCCAACACTTCGGAGTAGAAGGAGATAAACTCACCTAGATAGATAAATATATAGATAGATAGATAGATAGATAGATAGATAGATAGATAGATAGATAGATAGATAGATAGATAGATAGATATGTACATAAGTAATAAAATGATGTTATGATGATTGATGATGTCAATAATAAATAAAAAGGATGAAGATTGATGGTTCATTATGGTTATTGTGATTACATTTATAACTAAATTGGGTATTTTTATAAAAATTTACATAAATTATGTTTTCACATATTTTCCTATGGTTTCTTCATATATTTGAAAGTTTAGCTCTCCTAGAACCTTTTCATTGTCTTCAGACACTATTTCACAGCTGACATTGAATGCGTCATTTTTATACTGTTTTGCGTAAATATCATGTTTTGTCAATTTAAAAAGAGATTGTCGTTGAACTCTAGAAATGGTTAAAATTCTCACAAAATTAGTTCTATTTAAAGATCTTGTCTCCCAGAAGGCTGAGAGTAGATAAATATCCTGATCTAGTTTGATTAGATTGGTTGGACTAAACTTTACTTCTCTCGACTCACTAAATATTTCGTAGAATAGAAGTGCACTCATATATAGGGTTGAAACTAGGGTTAGGATTTGTTTATGAATTCGCTTTATTCTCAGCATGGTGAATTCTCTAATGTTAGTTCAACTCACACTGCACTCACACTCCAATACCGATCTTTGTACACAAACCAAAAACCAAAGAAAAAGTTTATTTGAAAAATACATTTTCTGCAAAAATCATTGAACGATATTTTGATAATGTCCAATTATATCTTTAATAAGTAATGTTTGCATTTAAATATAAAAAGTAGAATCTACAAAAATAAAATTCCCCGCCCCCGGTGTCACGGAACAGGTTACTTTCCCTTGGCCTTATTTTCCTGCCTATGTAGTGTCTAGTATGTTAATGCAGACTAGGACAGCGATATTGTTAAATGTCGTCTTTTTGAAAAGAGAAACTTGACGGACAATTAAATTTGAAATTAGGTAATGTTATACTTTGCCTTGTTCAATTTGGTTTTAATTTTCTTATATTTGTTTTTGAATATTGTGATATATGCATTTTCAATAGGTTCTGTTTTGAATTTAAATAGGCATATCTTAGCTCCTTCTCCTCCTACCCCGGTATACCCCTCCGCCTTCTCCTCCCTACCCCGGCTCCGGGAGCTCCGGTATATCCTTCTCTTGCTACTCCGGTATACTCCTCTTTCTTCTCCTCCTACTCCTGTATACCCCCCTTTCTTCTCCTACTCCGGTATGCCTGCTACATACCTGAACTTGATCCTATTCCTCTCTTAAATATTTCTTATTTCACAGTATAGAATACAGGCAGCTAAACAACTAATTTGTAAATTCTTCCTAAGCTAATCAAATAAAATCTTTTTAACTACGATCATTTAGGATCATTCTAGAAAAACGCTACACTCATAAAACGCGACTTAGAAACGTTTGTAAAGAAAAAACGCTACTACCATAATATCATGCTATTAGGTTTAAAAGTTAGATAATATTATATACTAGCTTGGGAACCCAGCGTTGCCTAGGTTACTCATTGTTACTCCCGCCGTTTACCCGCACTTGGTCGATTTTACCCACGCTACTTAGAATCTCAAAACCAAGCTAAGAACATTCCCTTGGCTCTCCCGAGTTCCCTAATCAAAATTTGAGGCAAATCAGTCGAGGGGTTCTTGAGGAAAAACAAACAAACAAACAGACAAATAGAGATTGCAACTTTATCTATATATAAAGGAAATGAGTCTTTGCCACAAATACCAACTTTCTAAAACCTATATATCTACAACCAAATGATGTAAACCTTTTATATTTCAAACTTATATTGTTTGATGTAGCAGAAGTCATAGTTTGAAATATCTAAGGTCTACACCATTGGGTTGTTAATATATAGGGATTTAAAATTCAGAGTTTGTGGCAAAAACTCAATTCCTTTAGCTTATCTGTCTGGGTGTTTGTTTGTTTGTTTCCAATAAACGTCAAAACGGCTGAACCGATCAGGCGCAAATTTTGAATTTATGAATGATCAAAATTTTAAAAATTTGACTTCTTAACAATTCGATTTTCATTAAATTTTTGCAAATTTTAAAAATCCAAGAAATTTTTTTTTTATGAAATCAGCGAACTTTTTTTGTTTTGTTTTCCAATGAACAAAAAGAGAACATGTTCACAATTGAAAACGAAGATGGGCGCGAAGTGCCTTAAAAGGCTAGTATATATAGATAACTATAACCACCCATCAATATTGCATGGTAAAAAAAATATTATTATAATGACTTTAGAAATTTATTGATATGAATTGTGCCTTATTCATAAGTAAATATATTTACTCTTGTTAAATTTTGTATTGAGAAGAGTTATAAAAAAACGCATTATGCGATTTCAATTGAAATAATGTTTTAAAGAAAGATTGATTCATAAAGTTTAATAATAAAAATATTGCCAAGACTAATCAAGTGCTTAGTTGTCTGGTGGTGGGGGGTAGAAACCTTTTCCTATTTAGTTTAGGACATTCCGAGGAGCTTTCCCCCTGACTGGGGAAACATATAGGAGGTTAATCCCTCAGGATATGTCATCTGACAAGCCAGGGGATCAAATAAGTAAATATATCAACCAAAATAGCGAAAGAGTAAAAGCAAAAAGTAAATATATCAGCCAAAATATGAAAAAAAACGTTTTCCTCTCAAAGTGTCAATCAATTTCAGTTAAACCTTCCTAATAATTAAATCTTAAATCAAATGAGGAAATTATGGAAGGGGAGCTATTAAGGACGGGAGACAGACAAATTATGGAAGGGGAGCTATAAAGGACGGGAGACAGACAAATTATGGAAGGGGAACTATAAAGGAAGGGAGGCTGACAAATTTTAGCCAGAATTAGTCCAAATCCAAGCCTGAAAAGGGTTTTTATAGAGATTTGATTTTTTAATTATTCACAATCCTGGTTATTATTTTTTATAATGAAATTATTTAGTTTTAACCGGGAGTAAGATTAAAATTGTAAAACTGCGGTCCAGCGTTCGTAGTAGATTGACCTGCAGCCGTGGATAGGAAGAATAAGACGGGTTGACCCACAGGCGCGGAGTGGAGAGTATAAGACGGGTTGACCCACCCCGCTAGTTTATTCAGATACCTGTCCCAAGCAACATTGTGATTATCTAAATGAGTGAATAAGATATTAGAGTTAAATGCGTTCAAAAGTCAAGCTGAACAACAACTTTTTATTTCCTTCTTTTAAGATTATACAATTAGAATAAAACAAATTGTAATCGGTTAAAACTGCTGATGAGAAATTTGAAAATTTTAAAACTAGAAATGCTCTAGAGTCAAATAACTATATCTTGGCAACCTGGTGTCGTAGATCTTTGATATTTCAAACTTTGAATTCTGTTAGATCAAATAATCCAAGTTTGAAATATCAAAGGTTTACACAATTAGGGACAATAAAACTAGAGCTTTCAGAGAAATCAATTTCTTTGAAAACTCTTTTTAAAATGTTTATAATTTACTTTGTTTACAGCTTTAAAAATTTAGAAAAAATGTTCGTTTTTAATTAATATTTCTCAACTAAATATCGGATTTAAATATTTGTTGAAAAAAAGTTGACATAAATCATAAATTATGTTTCCTAAAAGTCCATTCGTCAGAGCAAATATGTTAGCTATCATCTAAATTTTCTTAAAATTTCAAAAATGCTTAACTTTTCCTTTTGTATTTATAGCTATGAAAGAAAAATGAAGTTTAACTTATTACATCAATTTGAACCTAAACAAAGAATTTAGATTTAAACAGCAAAAATCTCTTCACATATTTCGCTTTGACCTGATAACTCAACTCACAATGAATTTATTTTTATATTTTTTTATTTTTAAATCTCCTGATCATTGCTAAACTTCTAATTTAACAATTAAAAAATTTATCCATAACAGTAACTTGTAAAGGTTACTTAAAATGTTTTTTCCATGTGAGTAGCCTGGGAATATGACGTTAGTGTTAGATCTAAGCTTGACCCCCTACTCAAGATAAGAATATAGATAAACCGCGCAATTAACAAAATCATGACCAAATTACTAATTTTCAAATTCCTCAAATATTTCGAGGATTTGCAGGTTCATTTAAACACGTACGTATTTCTCTATACACAACATTTACAGAAATGCACGAAACAACGAAGTAAAAATCCACGAAAATTTCGACTTAAAAGACTGACATCGCGATGTCTGAAAAGCCTGATGCAGGATGTTCTACCCCTAATAGAAGGGATTCTAGTTGCACCACAACAAGTATAGAATCAGGGGGATCAAGAATATTAAAACGTGAACTACTCATGGGGGTCGCAGAACATTGTGTCGCGGATTTTATCTCCACTCAGACAGATGCAAGGTGGCTGAAATATATTCAAGAAAAAAAATATTATGAATTACCATAATTTAAAATGTAGAGTACATGTAGAATTGAATATTTTACATTTCTCTTATTTTGCTAAATTCAATGCTTTGAATTTAAAATTTAAGAATATATTTCCAAAAAAGGAAAAAGCTTGTGAATTCTATTGCTACGAATATATATGAAAACTTGAAGAATAACACAAATATTAGGGAGAAGATATAGTTAAATTTTACAACACAACTTTATATCATCTCAAAAAAAATGATCTCGTAAAAAAGCGTTTTACCGATTTCTAGGATCGCATATGAACACAGATTAACCCTGTCACGATTGGGGGGGGGGGGGGGGTTCACAGCCGTACCCCTGAAGCTTTTCTTAATAGCTTAAACTAAAATAATAAAAAATAACCTATCATTTTTTTATTAATGAGCTGGCCTTGAAAACTTGGACTAGTGCGTGTATCACTCTCCCCTATCCCAAGTTCCCAACATTGAGGGCAAAATCATGAGGGGTGGAGGGAGTTGAAACACGTATATATTAGACAAAAATAGGGATACGGTTAAAAACTAGTAGACTTATTTCAAGAGATCCTCTATTTAAAGTGATCCTCTATTTAAAGTGAGGTATGTACGAAACCCTGCTAAACCTATCATAATCAAGAATATATGAGATATTCATGTTTTTAACTTTCAAAATTGATTATTTTCACTTGTGATTTATCTACAAAAGTGACTTGGGGAATTTTGCTAAAAACGAGGGAGAGAAAATTGTCCTGATTAAGCAAGAAAATGACGATATCTCCCACATTATTGTTCAGTAAGAGGTTTAAAGGGTATCTTTGTAAATCGTGCATGGCTCTCCTAAAATAAAGTATCACTTGAAGTTACATTGGCAGTCCTATTGACGATCCAGAGTTCCGACATAATATCTTGAAACTAATTATATTCTTATAAAATTAATTAACTATTGAACAGTGTCACAAAATGTTGAATAGACGAAAAAAAAATCAAACAATTCACACTTTCCCCTCAGAGGTTTAACTATTGCCCAATTATAAATAAATTAATATCACAATAAATAGAATGGAAAGGCATGATTTAAAAGTTATCGGATTTAGTCAACCCTACTCTGAATAAATGATGATTATCCCTTGGGGATGAAACGAAACTGAAAGTGTGAAGTGTTTAAGGTTTTTTTTAACACCCTTCAGATGTCAGCAAAGTCAATATAGATTTAATTTCCGATGAAAACAAATTTTATAACTATTGCATTAACTGCTGCATACTTTTTTTGAATTATAAACTATACATTTTCATCAGTGCTCTTCTGACTGAAGCATTAAGTCCAGCTACGCTTGATAAGGAAATCAAAATCTAACTATTGCAAAGTAAGACCAGGGAATCAAATAAAAAGACGAACTTAATTTTTTTTTTTTGAAAAATTTGAATTCAATTAGGATTTTGATTTCAAGGAATCTGTTTTAAAGAGTTTAATGGTGAGCGTAAGCGGAACCTTACGAGACTCTTTAAACAAACCTAAAGATATAAATCCAAACCGTCCTGATTCTCTAGACAGCCTTCAAACCAGTAGCTCGGAATCACCTAATTCAAGTTTCGACAAACCTCTTGAAGTACTTGACTCCGAAACCTCGTCCGAATTTGTTTATGAAAGTTGCTGCAAAACAGAGAGTAAGCAGTACGTAATGAGCCGAGAAGTGGATCGACACCAGCTACCTGTAACAGTAGCTGAGCTAGAGGGTATTCCACTTCCGGTTCAAGAACTATCAACACCGGTTTTATCATCCACCAATAGTACTAAAGATTCGGTTTTATCATCCACCAGTAGTACCAAAGATTCATCTGTTCAAGATCATAATTCAAGAATTGAGAATATTCGTGACAGAGGTTCGTCAGGGAAACCGCGAAGCTCGAAGAGTGAATCTACGAACGAAAATGAGAATTTTAACACTGCGTCGATACAACGAACTTTTTCCTTTTCCGACAAGGATAGAAAAGTGTTCAGTCTTCCGCCTCGACCTTCGTCTTCATCTAGGAATATATTTTAACTTTTTTAAAACCAAATTGTTATCTCTCCCCTTTCCCCTGCATATCGTTTAGGCTCTAGTATGTGACTCCTGCCCTCTGAGTAACAAATGAGGATGAGAGCAAGCATTCGAAACATTCGAATTAACAAATTAATTCAAATTAACTCTCTTCACTCATTTCCAGAACATTGAATATTCGATCAGTTCCTCTTATACTGTTTAACATTGTTGTTTTATCTTAAAATTGTAAATTATAAACTTGGTTTTATATATATATATTGTTTCCATTATGTGTGTCTCTAGGGAACTTTATTATGAAACTTTTCTCCTTTGCGAGCAAATAAACCGTATATGGTGCTCATATAAACACAGAATTCATTATCCAGAAAATAATAGAATTAGAGCTGAAAACTTTAGAATTGTGGATATCGAGATCAATGCTTCATCTCCTCTTTTCATTAATCTCAAGATTAATATAATTTTTTAGTTTGTATCCAGAAAAGTGTATAAAATTCAGCCAATCAGAGTGGCGTATCAGAAGCCAGGAAATTTGATATTTTGCGCGTCATTTAATGAGAGAACTCTGCATGATTGGTCGGAATTCGGGGTATATCCAAAAAAGAGGGAAAAAGAGCGGATGGAGCAGAAATCATAAGTGTCCACAGTGGATATACAGATGTAGCAATTGGTATTCAGAGTATCCAGTTCTAAAGGTTTCAGCTCAGATTTGAAGCTAGTTAGAAAAAGCATCGTTTTTATTGAAAATTTTGTTCTAAACATTCTTGAAATATTGTGAGAGTATATATACTCTCTACAGTATACATCTATGTTCTGAACATACTTGGTATTCAAGGCATACTGAACCATCTTCCCTCTTTAACACACAAACTCAGATAGAAGTAACATTTAAATAAGAAAACAGTCAAAATATTTACAGTTCGTTAAACACCAGACTAAAAGGAAATCAAGCTTCTGGTCAGGCCAATATTCAAGCATCAAAAGGTCAACAGGGCAGTCCTCAACCGACAAATAAAGCTAATCAAGGACAATTAGGCAACAGGCAACCAACGAATAAGGATAGTCAAGCAACCAGTCAAACTGGTATAGAACAACAAGTCAAAGGGCAACCTATTTTAATAGCTAATCAAGCAAACGATAAAACTAGTCAAGGGTTGAATCAAGCAACCAATAACACTAGTCAAGGGTTTAATCAAGCAACCAATAACACTAGTCAAGGGTTTAATCAAGCAACCAATAACACTAGTCAAGGGTTGAATCAAGCAACCAATGAAACTAGTCAAAGGTTGAATCAAGCAACCCATAACACTAGTCAAGGGTTAAATCAAGCAACCTATGACACCAGTCAAGGGTTGAATGAAGCAAGCAATGAAACTAGTCAAGGGTCTAATGAAGCCACCAATAAAACTAATCAGAAGGTTGTAAGTCCTAACGTTCAACAAGAAAAAAACAAAGGAATCTAATCAACACTCATAAACAATTGCTCAAAAAAGTTAATTTTTTTTCTTTGCCCTTTGTAATCTTAAAGTAGTAAATGACATCATTAATTTCTTTGATTCTTTGTTTTTATTTCAAAGACTGATTTAATTTTATCTTATTCTTCTTTGAACTTTTCTATTTATCTAAATTCAATTCTAAAACTTGATGACCTGAAAAAACTTCACTTGTCGAAAGAGAAGGCCAATTGGGGGGAGAGGTTGATGGAGAAGGTTTTATTAAGATTTTATCGGTGAAAATTATCTTATAATTTAAAACTAAAGTCACAAAAGTGCGAAAGTAGAGAAATAAAAAATGTAAAAATGCTGCCTCCTGAAAACTATAGTTCACTGCAAAATAAGGCAGAAGAAGAAGAAAGCACAAATTCATGAGACAGGACTGGTACTTCTTTGTGATCTCGTATCTCCCCATTTTTGATTTTGCATGAAGCTACGCCTTATGAGAATAGAAAAGGAACTGAGCTTTTTCCACAAACTCTGATTTTTGTAACCCGATGTCGTTTACCTTTGATATTCCGGACTAGGAATTCTGTTTAAGATCAAATAGTCAGTGTAATAAATATCAAAGGTTTAGGCCATAAGGTTGCAAAGATACGGGGATTAAAAATTTGAGTTTGTGGGGAAACCTCAGTTCCTTTATCTGGTTACACATTTAAAATCTTTAAACATTTTGCTCTTCTCATTAACTTTACGATTAGAAAAATATGATTGAAAACAGATAGGATTCAATTTGACGTGACATTTACTTTAGTTTGAAGTGAGTTGATATAGATAATTAATAAGTTAATGGTCCATCCAATACGATACAGGAGGGGGGGGGGGATACACCCATCCCATGCTGATTAGGGTTAAACGTGACATTTACTTTAGTTTGAAGTGAGTTGATATAGATACTTAATAAGTAAATTGTCCATCCAATACGATACAGGAGGGGGGGGGGATACACCCATCCCATGCTGATTGAAAACAGATATGATTCAATTTGACGTGACATTTACTTTAGTTTGAAGTGAGTTGATATAGATAATAAATTAGTTAATGGTCCATCCAATACGATACAGGAGGGGGGGGGGGATACACCCATCCCATGCTGATTAGGGTTAAACGGCAGAAAGTTAAGTTTCCTAATATCTGGGTTGGAAGCTGCAGGGTGGGTTGTGTTGATTAATGGATAGAAGAGAAAAAGCGGGAAAGATAAAAATATGTTTACAATATCTCTACTTTACACTTTTATATATATATACATTTACACATAAATATATTGTAAAAATATGTTTACAATATCTCCTACTTTACACTATTATATATATATATACATTTACACATAAATATATTATACAAATATGTTTACAATATCTCTACTTTAAACTATTATATATATATATATACATTTACACATAAATATATTATAAAGATATTCCAGAATGAATTGGATATATTTCAGATAATTTGTAAAGATTATTCTTAATTGTTATCTTGGGATAGGTTAGCCTCTAAAAACAGCAGGCTGCACAGTGCGTTAGGAAACACTGCGGCTAAAAACAGCAGGCTGCACAGTGCGTTTGGAAACACTGCGGCTCGGAAAGGCAAGGGAAGGAAGTTCTGTGGCAATGACATGCAAGGGGATGGAGCATTGCGACTAGGACATGCAAGGGGAGGAAGCATTGCGACTAGGACATAAAATAGGAGGGAACACTGCGGCTAGGACATACAAGGGGAGGAAGCACTGCGACTAGGACATACAATGGGAGGGAACACTGCGGCTAGGACATAAAAGGAGAGGAAGCACTGTGGCTAGGACATAAAAGAGAATAAATCACTGTGACTAGGACAGGCAAGGGGAGGGAGGAGTATAAGTACTCAGGACAAAATTTTGATATATCTGTAATCCGCTCCGTAGACAAACTAGTTACATAAAACTTTCCATTTCTGAAAAATCCTGATTCTTGGAGGATCTATCAATAATAATAAGAAAGTTTTTATATAATTTATCTTTTAGTGTATTCCTACAAACTTTTTGACATTGTGACAGTTTTGACGTCAAATTTAGCCGAGCCTTGTGTCAATCTGTCAGGAACTAAAAATATTACTTCAAACATCTACCTCCAGATTTTCCCCTCTCAACATATCTCCCTCCTCCAACCTTCCTTTCCCCTCTCAACATATCTCCCTCCTCCAACCTTCCTTTCCCCTCTCAACATATCTCCCTCCTCCAACCTTCCTTTCCCAATCCCATCTCTTCCCCCGTCCTGACAGATCAATGAAAACTATTTAAAAATATCGTATTTCAATTCAATTCCCAGAACTGTTGCACGGATGCAACATTTCATGGATTAACACGTTTATCAGTTGAGCTCGCGTTGTTCATTAGTCATTCATGTTTTGTTTTATAATCATCAATTTCGTTTTTATCCAGATTAGTGTTCATAGTAGGTTTTTGTTCAAGGGATAGATGGGTTTATCAAGACTTTGCTTATTTAAACTTTAAGCTAGAAGCAGTTTTAGATTGTCCATATCCAGAAACCAAATCTAGCGAATTAGAGAGGTCGCTCAACTTCCTACCTCCGGTTCAAATCCTTAATCTCCAATTTACTCTCTAATTGATTACCTAAATCGTCATGAATCTTTAACTTTGAATCGGTAGTTCAGGATTTCAATTTGAATTTGTCCGGGGGGTGGGGGGTATTTAAAATAGGGTTCAGCCACCGATATGGGGGACTTAATCCCCTGGAAATCATAGTTTTCAATTTTCCAGGAGAGGCATAGCCCTGTTTTCATCCCTATCTTGTTGTTTCCTATAAATATTTAACCATGAACCCATCTAGTAGATGGAAGTATGATGTCTAGTGTAGCATCCTTTTATAGGTTTTAATATCCGGCCTTAACCCTTTCATTCTCAATTCTATAAATAGTTTCAAGGCAGTGCAGAACCTATCATACACGCAGATCTCAAATATAGAATTGTGGTTATCAAGATCAATGCTTGATCTTCTCTTGTTGTTTGTCTGCAGATTAATATAATCTTTATTTTGATATCCGAGAAAGTGTTTAAACTTCAACCAATCAGAGTATCGTTTTCATAAACCGAATAGCCAATCAGAAGCCAGGACATAATCAATAAGAGAACTCTCATTGGTCGAACCTCTGCAAGGATATCAAAAATAGTGGATTAAGCAGACAAGGAAAAGTATCCACTGGATATTGAGATCAAGCGAAAGGGCTTAAGGGTTTCCAACACAAGAGTTTCCAACTCGGGGAAAATTAAGACCAGGTGCAAAAATGAGTTGCCTCAAAAATCTTGGGTTCATTCGGTTCAGTCGTTTTTACATTTGTTAGATACAAGCAAACAAACAAAACATAAACGATCCTAATATAGGAGCAAAGTATATATATGTGTCCCTGTATAAGTAGAGAAGGTGAGAGAGTTAGTCTTCCTGTAAATATTTACATATTGCAAGGCTCTATATAAACCTTGCAAATCATTCATATTTTTCATAATATATCCTACATATCCTACATATATCTAGTTTCAAGTCGCCAAATTAATATTCAACTCAGATATCTCAGGAAATTAGATTTCAACCTACAAACTCTAATTAGGGTAAAATCATATCTTCTCAAACCTATTTCTTATCTCTTCTTAATGCACTCAATACTATAAACTGTAAACTTGTACAGGGGAGTAACAGGAGGGGCGGTGGGGCAGTTGGGTACAAGGGGCGGGGTCTGGACCCCTGATCCAGGGATCTGTATATAGTTTAGTAAATAATACATTACCCTGATATATCTATGGATCTCTATAAGTTTAGTAAAGAATATACACCCGTGATATATCCAGGGATATTTTTTTAGTTTAGTGAAGAATATACACCCTTGATATATACAGAGATCAAAATATAGTTTAGTAAAGAATACACATCCCTGATCTATCCAGGGATCTTTTTTTAGTTTAATAAAGAATATACACCCTTGATATATACAGAGATCTAAATATAGTTTAGTAAAGAATATACATCCCTGATATATACAGGGATTTGTTTAGTTTAGTAAAGAATATACACCCTTGATATATACAGAGATCTGTATATAGTTTAGTAAAGAATATACACCCCTGATATATACAGAGATCTAAATATAGTTTAGTAAAGAATATACATTCCTGATATATACAGGGATTTGTTTAGTTTAGTAAAGAATATACACCCTTGATATATACAGAGATCTGTATATAGTTTAGTAAAGAATATACACCCCTGATATATACAGAGATCTGTATATAGTTTAGTAAAGAATATANCCCCCCCCCCCCCCCGCCTTTTTTATACACTCCTATAATTCGAGAGTTTTTAAAAATCTACAAAATCTATATAGCTTTATAGAGTAAAAAAGAGGTAGTTTATATTTGTTAGAAACAAAATTAACCAAGAAGAAAATGTGGTGAAGAATTTATATTAAAAATGTTTTATATGCTGTGGTTTTGGTAGGTTCAATAAGAATAGAACAGAAAAGAAAAAGACAAGAAAAACATATGATTGTTCGGGGTATTTTTATTAGAAATGAAATTTAGTTTTATAAAGAGGAGAGGCGCATCTAAAATCTCTTTAAGACAGCATATTTGGCTCCAAACTTTATTTTAGATTAGAGGGAAATTGAATTTTAAGGACATTCACTGACCCGTAGAATACCTGTAGAATTAATTTATGGTGAATTTAGAAAAAAAATATTTAAGTAAAAAAATGTCAAATTGAATCTCTTATATTTATATTGAGAAGTGGATGAGCCTATAAGGTTGGAATGCTTGAATATATAAACACAGGTTAAAGGTTTAAAGCTCAAGGTGGGGGATTATACTGTAAAGTTTATCTAATTCCAGGGGTAAAAAGTTCTCTTAAAATAAGAAAATATCTTATCCATCTTTAATAATTCTTTCAAAAAAGTAAAAAAGTTTTTGTCAAAACTTAAAAATAGGTTGTTTTTCTCTACATTCATTAAATATTCCCCCTTTAATACTGTTGTCCAGTCTGCTCAATACGTTTATGATTATTAATGATTAATGTTTGGCTGGGCCTGGAGTCTGCTGTTGATTAGATACTCATTTAGAATACAAACATGAGCACAACAACATCTTACAAAATTTCCAGAGTTCACAAGAGAACCTGGATAAATCCAGCAGGAGAAAATTTAAGGAAGTACCTAAAGAGCTTGTAACTCTTGTTGACAGTGTTGACAGGTGTGCTGAATACTCGGACAGTATTGTGCATTCACCAGCTCATGTATCCTCTAGTCAAGGGAACATTTCACTAACTTTAAATCAAACAGAAGAAAATAAAGTTGGAAGCTGGGGATCAAATAAATTATTCTCTCGTTCAACCGGTGCTAATCCTCTAATCAAAAATTCTTTTCATTCATCAATCAACAACCAGAATTCTGTCAAAACAGAATTTAATTTATTAGAAACCTTTGGTTCTGAACTTGAACCACAACCACGGAGTGAGAGCCAACTGAGTATTCGTTCTTTGAGTCCTTTGTCTGTAGGACCAGTTCCAAGTCCTACTCTTGTAGAACCAGGTTCTTATCGTCAATCCCAGGAACCATTTATTCGTCCTCAGTCTACTGAACCAGTTTCTTTCCCACAATTCAAAGAGCCAGTTATCCGTCCTCATTCTAAGGAACCAGTTTTTAGTCCTCAACCCAAGGAACCAGATACTAGTCCTACATCCAAGGAACCAGTTACTGGTCCCCAATCCAAGGAACCAGTTACTGGTCCCCAACCCAAGGAACCAGTTACTTATCCTACATCTAAGGAACCAGTTTTTAGTCCTCAATCTACGGAACCTGGTTCTATTCCTAAATTTAAGGAACCAGCTACTAGTCCTCAATTGAAGGAATCAGTTACTCATCCTAAATCCAAGGTACCAGATTTAACTCCTCAATTTAAGGAACCAGTTACTAGTCCTCAATCCAAGGAACCAGTTATTATTTCTAAGTTCAAGGAACCAGTTTATTGTCCTAAGTTTAAGGAACCAGTTTCTAGTCCAATTTTTAGACGCCAAATTGCAAAACTTTCTTCTGAATCTGGACAAACAGAGTTTAAAGAAGTAGTATGCAATCTTCAACTTGTAGAACCTGTTACTATTCCCCCAGCTGCTGAACTCATTGATAAATCAGAAGCCATTAAACCAGTTCCCAGTTTAACTCATGGATTCAGAAATACAGAGGAAACATTCAACCAATCTAATCAAACCATTAATACAGGCATTAGAACAGACAAAGCAAATTTCCTGAAAAAAAGCTCTCTTTCCTTTAGGTAATATTTTTTGTTTCCCATTCATATAAAACTTTCAGCTTAAAAACATTTCATAAACAAAACTTTAAGGAACAAAATAATTTCTCCCAACAAAATTGAGAGTTAAAGATCGATATTTTTCACATATTTGGAAATTTAAAAAGTTTTGGAATTAGTAATTATCACTCTCAATGATGTCGCTCTGTGTCAAAATCATTGATACGTTTAAAATAGTTAAAGGGTTCTATCCAAAGAACCCGGATTTCTTGCAAAGTTTTGTGGATTTTGATTAAAGGTATGGATAAATATGGCCTTCAAGGGTTTTCTTAACAAAATGATTGGCTTAGTTGTATTTCTCTAATTCCGAAAATTGTGGTATCGTGTACATCTTCAAGCATGATTTACATATTTACATTTTTAAAAATGATTCATCAGCTTTTGATTTTATTTCAGCGAGTTCTCTGAGTCCCTCTCAACCTCTATTCTGGAAAGAACATCAACAATGTCCAATGAAGAGAATATTTCAGCTGTTCATATTCAAAATATAGATGTACCAAGAATGAATGAATCTGAGAGTGTGACTGTCCCATCTGAATATATGGAAAAAGTTGAGAATTTTGGGCTAAGTTGTCCTGAGGAAAAAGCTGCCCTAGGTCAGATAAGACACGAACATATTCAAAGAACTGATCCGTTTGATAGGCTTACTCAGGCTCAAAGTACAGAACACAAAGAAACAGGCAAAAACTGTTTTGACAAAAATAAAGATTTCTGTCAGCCTGAAAGTCAACTGCCTGAAAGTCAACTGCCCCCATTAGAAGATCCAAGTGTAATATTACTGAGTCCGACTCCTATTCGTAGATCAATGTCTGCTAAACTTCTTGCATCACCTAACCCAGATAAATCTTATGAGGATGATTATACTGACCTTGAGTCTTTGGCAGAAGAAGTTCATCATGTAAAAGAAGATAAAGCCAGAGTATTTATTAATTCTAAACTCAAGGATTCAATTTCTGATATGGTAGCCTACCAAAAGCATATAAATGAGGAACAGAAACCGAAAACCCACTTTGAACTACTAAAAGAAAGTCAAATGAAGGCACAAAAAGAATTTCATGCAAGGCTATTTAAAGAACTGGCAGCAGAAAATCAGCGAGGTAAAAAATCTAGTAAAGGTGCTGAGGTCTTGGGAACTAAATTCTCATCAAAAACTCAGGAAAATGTATCCATTTATGATCAAGAACATTCTGGCTTCAAATCAGCACCATCAAAAAGTCCGAACATGAGCCGTAGAGGTAGCAATTCAATGGACACCTGGATGAGTAAAAGTCCATTTTGGTCCCAGTCCCTTCCTCGTCCAAGGAGGAAAGTAACATTTGTCGATGATTCCCCTCAACGACCTCCTCCACCACCTCCAGAAAGACAGCAATCAATCAATACAATGAGGAGTATGTCTGGTATCTCAACTGTATATAACCAGACATTAATAGAAGAATCTCATTCTCAAGCACACTATTATCAGACTGGATCAGATTCAGGACACCAGAAGATAAGTTCCAGACACCAGCAAACAGGTTCAGAACATCAACAAACAGGTTCAGGACACCAGCCAACAGGTTCAGGAAACCAGCAAACAGGATCAGAAAATCATCAAAATAAGTCATGGAATCAGCAAACAAGTTCTAGAACCCAGGAGACAAGTTCAGGAAGTGTTCAATTTGAAAATACAAACCCATCTAAAGGAAATCAAAATTTGGAACAAGAAATACACAGACAAGAGTTGGAGAGAGAGGAACTTAAATTGAAAGAATTCCAGAGACAAGAGTCGGAGAGACAAGAACTAGAAAGGAAAGCTTTAGAAAGGAAAGAATTAGAAAGACAAGAAATGGAGAGAAAAGAATTTGAAAGACAAGAACTTGAAAAACAAGAGATAAATAGACAAGAGTTACAGAAGCAGGAAATTCAGAAGCAAGAAATGCAGAAACAAGAATTAAATAAGAAAGAGTTTCAAAAACTGGAGTTAATTAAACAAGAACAGGAATTCAAGAAACAGGAACTTCAGACACAAGATTTTCAAAAGGGTCATTATTCATCGAGTCAAAAACAGCAACAGTTTAGTCATTTTGATCAAACACAATCACAACAGAAGCATCAGTATCAGATTCAATCACAGAAGGAGCATCAGTATCAGAAGCAATCACAGCAGGAGTATCAGTACCAGAATCAATCACATCAACAGCATCAGCATCAGTATCATTCACAGCAAGAGCATCCGTATCAGAATCAGTCACAGCATCAGCATCAGTATCAGAATCAATCACAACAGGAGCATCAGCATCAGTATCAGACTCTACAATATAATCAACATAAGTCTCATTCCCCACGTCAAAGTCACCAATATGTAGAGAAAAATGATGGAAATGCATTAAAGAGTGTAGAGTATAGAGAGTTCTACAAGGGAAGGATAGAGAGAAGAACTCCGGAGCAAGAATACAAATTAGATTTAGGTTCATACACTCAACCATTAGATTTTATTACAGGGTCATATATTCCCACTTCTTGACTGGATATTTTAGCAACATTCCAATATTTTTTTAATTCAAATAATCAACTATCTGAATTCCAAAACCAGAATTAACTAACTATGATAATAATCCATAATATTGTCATTTAAGCTGAAGGTTTCTTTTCTTTATTAAAATTTCCAATTGTTAAAATCTCATTATTAATCTACATCTTATAAAACTTCTTCTCTGATCAAATATTATTAAAGATAGGTTAATATTAAGTAAACCCCAAATAAGAGAAAAAAATCCTGTATACGCCCCGACTGTAATTATATTAAATCCTTTAACTGTTTTCTGTAAGTATATTTAGACTCCTGTACAACAGTATATTCCCTATAGTGTTCCAGAGGGGCGGAGTCAAGAATTCAAACAATTATTTCTTATCTTAATGAATTTCCGGTATATTCAAGTGTATTGATTAAACTTATATTTCAATTCTATTAAACTTTATAATCTTAAAAACTTTCCTTTTCTATAAAATTGAGAGAAATAGAAACTTGGAAAGTATTGTAAATGTGAATTATTAAGTAAGGCAATGGGTTGAAGTGGAGTAGAGATCTCTGATATTAAGAATAAAATTAAATCTTAAAACAGGCACACCTTAACCCCAAACAAGCAAAAAACAGAAAACATGTTAATGTAAATTTCCCAAGCAGTCAGCAACTAATGTCACATGTTTTGGAAATTTCGATATTTCTATTTCTGCGACGAACATAAAATTCATCGCAACAGACATTAAGTTTCCGAATTTTTCCAAAAAAAACTGGAATAAACATTATAAATACAATGGTTTGGTTCTGAAGGAGACAAGAAGGATAGATGGATGGAACTGTACGGTAACTCCGTACTCAACAATACTATACAGGATAGATCAGGATCAAGGCTTCATAGATCACAGTCAGCAGTCTGGAACTCAAATCAAGGAATGGATGAAATTGTTAAGAAACCATTTTGTCTTGGGTTGGTGATCTGCTCTTGCTATTGCTTTGATAATGAAGTTGATTTGCAGCTGGTCAAATATCATATTTTCTTTTGGAAACCTGGCTCATCTAATATCCTGGTCTCATCTGATATCCTGGTCTCATCTGATATCCATAGGCCGAATTTAAAGAATTTGAGCCGCAGCTTAAATTTGAGACACGGCTCAAATATGGTTGGTGCCACTTAAAATTGTATTCAATGTTTCAAAGTTTAAGCCGGCGCTCAATTGAAACCGGGTTTTGCAGATTTGAGATGCGGCTCAAATTCATTAAATTTGCACTCTGGTCTCATCTGATATCCTGGTCTCATCTGATATCCTGGTCTCTTCTGATATCCTGGTCTCTTCTGATATCCTGGTCTCATCTGATATCCTGGTTTTATCTGATATCCTGGTCTCATCTGATATCCTGGTCTCATTTGATATCCTGGTCTCATCTGATATCCTGGTCTCATCTGATATCCCGGTCTCATTTCATATCCTGTTTGAGTCTTTTTGTCTCCTGGTATCCTGGTATCCTTGTCTTACTGTCACCTGATATCCTAGTCTCATTGTAACATTTTTTCCTGATTTTCTGGTATCCGGATCTCATTGTATCCTGGTATCCGTTACCCTGGTATTCTGGTATTTTGGTATCCGGATATCCTATTATCCTGGTCTCATTGTATCCATGTTACTTATCCTATATTTAAAGGCCCATTAGCATCATATGCATAGTTTTGCTAAAACCTTGCCTTATGATTTATTTTCTGTGTAGTTCTCTTTCTAGTTTCTTGGTTTATCTTTCATTGATTTAATCATAATATTCTTTCTGTTTTGTTCCTTTCTTAATGTTTTCATCTAATAGAAATAGTTGAGCATAGTCCTGTAATGTCAACAGATAAACTTGAAAAACCGAAACATCCTCCCCAACCCACACAACAACAGCAGGGCAACAACAATAATCTAACAACTTCATTTTCACAACACTTTACCAACAGTACTCTACCAAGAAAGTTTTCAAGAATAAAAGTTTATGATAAAGGAGGAGAGGGTCTTAAACGAAACGCTTCGATGTCGGATGTTTCTCGTTTTAACTACGAAGTTGGGTTTAATGGCGGACCATTACACAACAGCAGCAGTAGCAATGATTTAAAGTCCGTCCCAACTAAGCTGGATCCTGTATCTCGTAACCAGCTCCAGGTCCCACCTTATATAGTCAAGAGTATTGTAATCTCAGTACTGGAGAAGCAAGGAGTTCCTAATCCTTCCGATGATATTATCAACCGAGCAATTCAGGAGTACTACAATAAAAATCCTGAAGGAGTAAGTTTTTAGTTTAGGTCAGAATAGGTGGTAGAGAATGTGTAAGCTTAGAGAGAACAGAAAAAATCAAGAAAGCTATTTCGTAATTATTAAAGTTTAACTATAGGCACAAGCAACAGTTTAAGATTAGTGAAAACTATATAGAGGTCAGTAAACTTATAAATTTAAGAAAATATTTTTATTCTAAGGGAGAAACACAAGAAAAAGACAAAAAAAACTAGGGAAAAAAACGTTTGAATGATTCACCTGCAATAGATTCAATTGAATGTACGTCGTACAGCAGTTAGTGCTTGAAACTTTGCAACGCATGCTATACCAACAGATAATTACATTGTTTAATAGTAGACTAATAAATAGATAAGAATTCATTAGTTTACTCCTTAGGTTTTATATTCTTCATTGTACTCTGATCTAGTTTTGTTCTATCCTGTACTCTGATCTAATTGTGTTCTATTCTGTACTCTGATCTAGCTGTGTTCTAGCCTGTACTCTGATCTAGTTGTGTTCTATCCTGTACTCTGATCTAGCTGTGTTCTATCCTGTACTCTGATCTAGCTGTGTTCTATCCTGTACTCGGATCTAGTTGTGTTCTATCCTGTACTCTGATCTAGTTGTCTTTTATCCTGTACTCGGATCTAGCTGTGTTCTACCCTGTACTCTGATCTAGCTGTGTTTTATCCACTGCTCTTTATTGTGTTCTATCCTGTACTCTGCATTGTGTTCTATCCTGTACTCTGTATTGTGTTCTATCCTGTACTCTGTATTGTATTCTATCCTATACTCTGTATTGTGTTCTATCCTGTACTCTGATCTAGTTGTGTTCTATCCTGTACTCTGTATTGTGTTCTATCCTGTACTCTGTATAGTGTTCTATCCTGTACTCTGTCTTGTGTTCTATCCTGTACTTTATATTGTATTCTATCCTATACTCTGTATTGTGTTCTTTCCTGTACTCTGATCTAGTTGTGTTATATCTTGTACTCTGATCTAGTTGTGTTCTATCCTGTACTCTGTATTGTGTTCTATCCTGTACTCTGTATTGTGTTCTATCCTGTACTCTGTATGGTGTTCTATCCTGTACTCTGTATTTTGTTCTATCCTGTACTCTGTATTGTATTCTATCCTGTACTCTGTATTGTGTTCTATCCTGTACTCTGATCTAGTTGTGTTCGATCCTGTACTTTATATTGTATTCTATCCTATACTCTGTATTGTGTTCTAATTCCTGTACTCTGATCTAGTTGTGTTATATCCTGTACTCTGATCTAGTTGTGTTCTATCCTGTACTCTGTATTGTGTTCTATCCTGTACTCTGTATTCTGTATTTTGTTTTATCCTGTACTCTGTATTGTATTCTATCCTGTACTCTGTATAGTGTTCTATCCTGTACTCTGTAATGTGTTCTATCCTGTACTCTGTATTGTGTTCTATCCTGTACTCTGTATTTTGTTTTATCCTGTACTCTGTATTGTATTCTATCCTGTACTCTGTATAGTGTTCTATCCTGTACTCTGTAATGTGTTCTATCCTGTACTCTGTATTGTGTTCTATCATAAACTCTGTAATGTGTTCTATCCTGTATTCTGTTTTGTGTTCTATCCTGTACCCTGTATTGTATTCTTTCCTGTACTCTGTAATGTGTTCTATCCTGTACTCTGTATTGTGTTCTATCCTAAACTCTGTATTGTGTTCTTTTCTATACTCTGTATTGTGTTTTATCTTGTACCCTGTATTGTGTTCTATATTATCAGCTTCGTTACCATGTTGCTTATTTCTAGTTCTATGTTGGGAAGAAAAGCTTAATATTGAATACTCTCTCTAGACTTGTATTTATTACAAGAATTAATCTAGAATATTATTCTCCGAGTGCAGCACTAGTAGAACATCATTTATCCTTCTGCACTTTCAAACTTTATTCTAATCTTTTCATAGAGATAAAATAAAATTTTACTGATGTATTTATAGAACCAATATTAATTGACTATTTAAAATATACTATTCAGTGCAATACTAATATTTGTATTCTTTTGTTAGCTTGCTTGTTTCACGAATTGCATGAAAAACACGTATTTTTCAACTATATCTCAAAGTTTTCTTACGTACAGGCCACACAGTGTACTTACATAACATTCCCTTTAATTACTTAAGTCAAAGACTAAGCTTTTAAGGCAATTTGTGCCCCCATTTAATTAACAATTTTCGCAGTTAACCTTCATTTTTAAAGCACATTTTTTTTAATTCGAAAATTCACAGATTTTTGTGTTTAAATTTGCCGATTTTCAAAAAAAATCTCGACATTTTGTTTCAGGCAAAATTTTGATCTTTAACCATCTATGTATAAACCTTCCCTCGGGTCATGTAAGTTGCCACAAAAAATTTGGACCCCGATCAGGTCAGCTGTTTTTACGCTTGTTGGTCACAAACATACAAATAGACAGGCAGACAAGTAAAGAATATATAAACTGTTTCCTGTAACCAGCTGTCCAGTTTGTAAAGATTTATAAATCTGAATATTGACTGCAGTTCTTTCAAGGTATGAACTATACAAATTCTAACTTTATAAAGTGACTGGTTTCTGCTCCACGAATATCTAGAAAATGTACTGACACAGCTATTTTATATATACTTATACTTATATACTTATACTTTACTGTAAACTGCATTTAAAGTACTTACCCAATTAAACTAAACGCTAACAAATTTTCATTGTAAACTAAAATAAAAACATTATTATAATTTTCTTTATCAAATCAACCAGAGGCGTATTTAGGGGGAGGGCTATGGGGGCTAAGCCTCCCTCTGGACCAGTGAAATCTATTGATTTCAGGGGGTTTTCAGGCCCCAACATGTGCTGAGCCCTCCCCCCCCCCTGGAAAGAAAAAATTTAAGCCCCCCTGGACAATTTTCTGAATACGCCAATGAAATCAACCTCCTCATTTTCCACAACCAATCTTCTTTTACTGTTTTCCGTAACCAACCTTCTCTCCGGCCCTGGTTTCTGTAACCAACTCCGTCTCCCCCTGCACTGGTGACAAAACCAACCTTCTCTCGTTGGTTTCCATAACCCACACAGCTAAGATTTCTACAATGGAAGCCTACAATTAAGTTAAACCATTTCTGTTTTTCGAACACCCTACTGGACAGTCCCCTGGAATTAGTAAAGAAGTTATTAAATATTTTACTAACTTTTATTTAAATTCTTTCCCTTCTTCTATAAGATTCTTTTCCAGCATAAACATCTATTGTTTTCTTTCTTCTGAATAATCACCACATTATACAACTTCTTTTGGATTTTAGTTTCAAGACTTTCAGATTTTGTTCTTTTTCTTTTTCTCAGTTTTATCTTTATTTCTCTCTTCTCCTTTTCAAATATTTATTTGTCCTCTACCTGGATAATTACAAAGTTGACCTTCATCAACTCAGACCAACTTTAAATTCCCCCTCTCATTCCCATTTACCCTCCTTTACAGACCCCCCCCCTCTAACCTTCATTAATCAGGTCCAGGGAGGGGTCCATTGTCTCCACTGTTACGGTAATTAGTAGAATCTTCAATTTATATTCAGTTCAACTATACTTTCATCAGATAGATAGATATATAGATAGATAGATAGATAAATATTGATAGTTTTCATTACACTTTTCCTAGTTTTCCTAATTCTCTAGGATTCTCCTAGTTTCTCCTAGTTTCTCCTAGTTTTCCTAATTCTCCAAAATTCTACCATTATCTCCTAGTTTCTCCTAGTTTCTCCCAGCTTCTCCTAGTTTCTCCCAGTTTCTCCTAGTTTCACCTAATTTCTCCTTAGTTTCTTCTAGTTTCTCCTAGTTCTCCTAATTTACCCTTATAGTTCTCCTAGTTTCTCCTAGCTCTCCTAGTTTCTCCTAGTTCTCCTAGTTCATCTTTGTTCTCCTAGTTTCTTGTAGTTTCTCCTAGATTCTCCTTGTTCTCCTTGTTCTCCTAATTTATCATAGTTCTCATAGTTTCTCCCAGTTCTCCTAGTTCTACTAGTTCTCCTGTTTATCCAGTTCTCCTAGTTTATCCTAGTTCTCCTTGTTCTCCTAAGTTCTCCTAGTTTATCCAAGTCTCTCTTAGTTTCTCCTTGTTCTCCTAGTTTTCCTAGTTTATCCTAGTTTCTCCTATTTTCTCCTTGTTCTCCTAATTTATCATAGTTCTCATAGTTTCTCCTAGTTCTCCTAGTTCTCCTATTTCTCCTGTTTATCCTAGTTCTCCTAATTCTCCTAGTTCTCCTAGTTCTCCTAGTTTCCCTAAGTTCTCCTAGTTTATCCTAGTCTCTCTTAGTTTCTCCTTGTTCTCCGAATTCTCCTAGTTCATCTTAGTTCTCCTAGTTTCTGGTAGTTTCTCCTAGATTCTCCTAGTTCTCCTAGTTTATACTAGTTCTCTTAGTTCTCCTAGTTTATCCTAGTTTCTCCTGGTTTCTCCTTGTTCTCCTAGTTCTCCTAGATTCTCCTAGTTCTCCTAGTTTATCCTAGTTCTCCTAGTTCTCCTAGTTCTCCTAGTTTATCCTAGTTCTCCTAGTTTCTTGTAGTTTCTCCTAGATTCTCTGAGTTCTCCTAGATACTCATAGATTCTCCTGGCTTCTTTCAGTTCTCCTAATTCTCCAATTTCTCCTGGTCTTCCTTGTTTATCAATGTTTCTCCTTGTTCTTTTAGTTCTCCTAGCTTTTCTCAATTCCTCCTACTTTCTCTTAATTGAAAGATACATCACTTTAAGTGAAATATGATTTGTTATTATGAAATTATATATGAAAGATATGTTTTTAGATTGTAATTTATAATATTTCTAAAAGTTATATCTATAATGGGCTAGAAATCTCCGCAGAATGCTTTGCAATTGTAATAGCGTCAACTGCGCGCAAATACAGAGAAATTGTGCGAAAGTTTCATGCAAATGTAGATTTAAATTCAAAGAAAAGTTTGGAACTGCACACAAGTAGAAACCCCATGTGGCTTGATATCCCTATCTTTGGTAGATTAACAAATACTATTCACTATCCCCCCCTCCCCTCCCCTTCTCTTGAAAAAATATTGCGCCAAATCATAATTTATTTGATGCGTCTTTATCCACCTTTATAGTTTGTCCGCATTGCATATTTGCAAACTACAGACAAAAGAGTCTCTAAAAGTACAGTTTGTACAGTGTAAAGTACAGTTTGTACAGTGTAAAGTACAGTTTGTACAGGTAAAGTACAGTGTTTTGATCTCGTGGATTTACACTGTTCACAATCACTTCTAGAGATCAGTATGAACAGGACTCAAAGTGAAAACTGTTCATACGAGACAAAAAACAAGACTGTTTGGTGAATAATCTTTAGAATGTGCATAGCGCAGTTATTAATAATAAAAATAATAATTTAATTTGTAAAATATACAATCGGAAAAGTTAACATTTTGCACCAAACAATCTGTAAAATACACTGTGTACATTAAACAATCTGTAAAATGTACTGTGTATATTAAACACTCTGTAAAATCTGTACGTACAATTTGTGTAAAAGAGTAAGCTGTACAATCTGTACAACCTGTAAAATCTTTATTGCTGTAAATCTTTCTCCTTCTAAACCTGAAGGATTTGTCCTGCAGATTTATGGGTTACCAATATCCATCATACAACTAATATACATTTATAATACAAACATGGATAAGCTGTACAATGTACACTGTACATATATCATCAATAAGACAAAAATGCAAAAAAAAACTATTTTTTTGCATTGGAAAGGTTTCATTATGTGTTATCGAATGTTGCCAATAATCAAACTATTTCTATGAATTATTAAAAAACATTTTCTATAAAATTAGTATATTAATCGGTTGAAATTTCATCTCTCTCAAACTATATTGAGTTGTAGAAGCTAATTTCTGAAATATTTTAAAAAATTCTAAAGCTGATGATGTGGTGTTCTGTATGAAAGTATGGAAAGATAGAAGTATGGAATGATAGATGTGATGTGATAAGATTAATGATGCACCTCTATATACCGACAATAAAGAAACATCGTTTGATAAAACTTCTCCAATTTGTTACAATGGTCAAACTTGTCGCAAGAAAACGATGAATTGAACACTTTCCCCATTCAGCAATACACTATATACTATATAATATATATATATATACATACAAAGGCATGACAAAATGTTGAAATTTTACTGTAACGTACACAAGTGTATACACATTTTACTGTACACAAGTGTTGAAATTTTACTAGGCAGGCAATTAAGATTTTAGAGATTTTTAAAAGTAAAACCAAACCTTGAGCCTTCCTTCTTACGTTCAGGTCTTCCCTTGAGTCTACAATTAGACCCAATGATTCTAATTGATTCTAATTTGATTTGATTGTAAAAAGGTCTGAAAATCAAGTCGATTCACTCTCAACTAAGCTTTCGGTGTGTTCTGCACTGATTTTCTGTACTCTGACCGAAGAAATAACGGGGTTTAGCGGAGAGTGGATCGGTTTTTACTAACCCGAAGTCTACTTTAAACTCAAGACTTGGCTTAAGCTTTACTTTGACTTAAATTGACGTTAAGACCGGGTTTTACTTGGATTTAAGCTTTTAAAATCTTAGCTTTGGGAATTATTGTTTACTTACTGTAACTGTCCTAATGCGTCATATAGCGAATAATAATCAACCCCTATTCTACTCTATTTATAATAATAAAAAACATAAGGTTTTCTAAAAAAAAGATAAAAGAAAAACCTATACCGGTCAAGCATAAAAATCGGTTTGATTTCAAACTACATTGATTGACTCTACACAAAAATATTTTGCTCACCCAAAAGTTGTAAACCCAAATATCTGTAAAGTTACCACGGTAATCCATAGTTGGCCCAATAATTCAATGTTAATTCAATCTTGTTGATCAACGTTGGTTAAACCAAATATCACGGAGCAACCCAGTTTGCCAAAATTTGACAACATCTTTTTTTATGTCAAACATTTTAGAGATAACGAATTTTCACACTAGTGAATACGTTTCTTTATAAGTCCTAAGTTAAAACAACCCACCGTGTTGTATTTTTACACCAAATACTCAGTGTTTTGAGTTATTATTCTGTTTGTTCGCTAGTATTATTTCGGCTGAAAAGTGAACCAGCCTCCCTGTTTTTTCCACAGGCTATCACAGTAAGCGAAANACAGAGCTTCCAGAGATAGAAGGATCTGCTCCGCCGTACCTCCGCCGTTCCTTCTGGGGGGACTACTGTGGCGGCTATGAAAGTCGTCTTTCCTAGGAAGAACCTTTCGCGGCAGGGAGAAGAATAGAGGAGTTTTCTAGAAGCCACGTCATATATATATATTTTTTACTTTGTAACTTTATATTTAAAAATATAGTTAGTCGTTATCTAAATCCTCGTCTTATTGCTATCCGCCAAAATTTTCAATTAAACCAATTTTCAAAATAATTTTTTGTTTGTAATGTAGGTATTTGTTGGATCAGCTAGTGATGGTGTTCTCAAACCTGGAGATAGGATTCTAGCAATAAACAACAATAACACATCAAACCTATCACATGTTGAAGCAAACAACCTTTTTAAGTAAGTTATCATCACTATGTATTGTACACTAAAGGGCTACCCACAAAGGATGAGACTGTAAAGACGACTTAATACTCATGAAATATGACAATCCCAAGTTTGAATTAAGTCATGCCTTGAATGTAGTCTTTAAAAGGCTTATTTAATGATTTGGCAAAAACAAAAAGAAGTTTACGGTTTCAGAGAATACTGAATATAAGGAAATAGACAATATAAATATCGTACAATCGTCTCTGAAGTCTTATTCTTTATGTATTCTGTATATGTAAACTATGTATGTATTCTGCAGTGCATAGTATATGTATGTATACTATGTATTCTGTGTATTTTGCAGTGTAAACTGTATGTATTATGTAAACTATGTATTCTATATATGCTGCAGTGTATAGTATATGTATACTATGTATACTGTGTATTCTACAGTGTATAATATGTAAACTATGTATTCTGCAGTGTATAGTATATGTATACTATGTATTCTGTGTATTCTGCAGTGTATAATATGTGAACTATGTATTCTGCAGTGTATAGTATATGTATACTATGTTTTCTGCAGTGTATACTGTATATATATGTATACTATGTATTCTACAGTGTATAATATGTAAACTATGTATTCTAGAGTTAAACTCTGAACCCTAGTATGGAAGATCTGTATAGAAAATAGATATCGGGTTCCTTCTCTTTATCCCATATTCTTATATATTCATTCCCACCATACATCCAATACAGGGCATATAACATCATCTATTCGCTTTACAAGAAAAAATAAAAGTTATTTTTAACCGAAAAAAGTAAAATTTTCAAGTCTGGGCGTTTTAGAGATTGGGTGTTTTCTGTACGGAAGAACAACGAATATATAAAAATGCGGTAAAGGATGCTTATTGCTTACCAATTTTTTTGGAACAAGAGTGAAACGTTTTAATTTTTAATGTTCTATCGAATAATTAATATTTAAGACGTTCTGGTACAAGTGCTAGACTAGAGATAGGAAGATCTGATCCAAACATCATAAATACACATCAAACAGGTATATATAGCATTTTAAATAAAATAAAGGTTTATCCAAATAGATTCTAGTACAATAGATGGCAACGTAGAATTTGTACACTCTCAGTAAAGCTGTTTTCTTACGTCACAAGTGTCAACCTAATTTTGTGTCCGACAAAATTATAAATAATTGTGACAATTTTAGAATAAAGTGTTTATCTTGCAGTAAAATAAGAGCAATTTTATGTGTTCTTTATTTTCTGTTTTTATACTTTTTTATTAAATCTTGGAAAACATGTTTTCCTTGTTATATTTGACACTTGGAACGTCGTTTATAATTTGTCCATTTCTCTGTTGCTACCTATTGAACTAAATAATCTATTTGGGGTTTTCAATAATTATTTTAAAAAAACATGGCTTTAGGTTAATATTGGCCCTGCCCTTATCTCATGTTGTGGTAACCTCAAAAATAACGCACAATTCGATAATATCAGTGTTAATATGATTATAAAGGTTGGTCACTTGAGCTGAAAGGGGGGAAGGGAGGTTGTATTTATATAAATTATTATAGATTTTCAATATTTTTTGTCACAAAATTATTATAGATATGTCTTTTCAAAATCATCCAGACCTTCAAAAAGTTCATTCTCAGGTAATCTTTGCTTTCTTTATTAAATTTTCCTTTCTCAGTTTAATTTTTATATTTTTCCATATTTCTCTACAGGACTGAAGAAATAAAGATGTAACTAATATGTTTTCTTTGTCCGAATCATTTTGCATGAAATTAAATCAAAATCTGACGCGTCCTGCCTCCTGTGTTTTTAGGTTTTAGTTTTCTGTTTATATTTAAATTAAGTAGATGTTTTATTTTTTTTACACGAATGTTTTGACATTTCACGTCCTCATAATGCCTTGGGCAAAGATTCAAGTCATCATAAAGACCAGTCAGAGTTTTTACTTATCGCGTTGATTTAGTCAGCGTTTTTACTTATCGCGTTGATTTAGTCAGAGTTTTTACTTATCGCGTTGATTTAGTCAGAGTTTTTAAGTCATCATAATCACTTTGTCAGACTTTTCAATACATTACAATCGATAAGCCTGAGTTTACATATCAATCTACAGACTAAGAAGGAGGGAAGTACTTGATGTAACAAACACTGTATTTAGCATTTAGAACACAATAAAACCCAGAAAATTTATTCAGATCCATCCAACATATCCTACATATCATATCAAAGCTTTCCAGTAATTTAATTTATACAACTTTTCACGCCTTTATACTGGAAGAAATACAAAGTTAGGCTTTGTGTTGCTTATTTAGAAATGTGAAGTGTATAGGAATTCAGTGACAATCGAAAATCTTTCACATTTTTGTTGTTGGCGTCTTCTGATCAGGCTTTAGACAAAATATCATCAAAATATCTAATATTCTGGCGTGTTCAAATTTTTGTTCATTTTGTTGTAACGATTCTAAATATCTCTCTAATGTTCTAATCCTAACCCCCCTAGGCTAAGAATGTTCTATCCTCCCATCTGAAAACACTGATCCACAGCTCTGAGGAAACTAGTGGTAGAGACTCTAATCACGATGTGGCACTACAGAACCAGGTCACACTACAACTTAACAATTAAACGAGAGAAACAAGCTAGTGGCGAATTTCAATGTCTGTAATAAAATGTAATCTCATTTTTGGTCATGCCTCCAGAACAGGGAAAAACTAAGCACTGAGGCCCATTCGCTAGCTCGTATTGTTATCCTTTTTTGGTACTTTTACTCAAAACCCAGGACTGAAATACAGAACTTTATCAAACTTGTGTTAAAAAGATGTTCAGTATACAAAGTTTTTATTCTAAAATGCTAAAATGTTGATCCAGGATATGAAAAGCTGCCTAAATGATTGTAATTATAAAAAATGGAACGAAAATAAAATTATCTCTTCGTATTTTGGGAGGAGTGAAAACAATCCGAAAACAGAAATAGTTCAAGCTTATTTTAAAAAGAAAACTTTTTGATTGGTTTTATTGTAAAGAAGAAGCTTCTGTTTATAGAAATTTTCAGGTAAAATATAGTTTGAAAGTTTTATTAAACATAAACTAACCATTTGTGCAGCCCTATCGAACCCTACCACTGGTTCTCCCGAACCCTAAAACCATCCATGACTGTGTGGGTTCGGAGAAGAACTATTGTACATCTAGCCTGGAGAGAAACCCGGAGAACCAGGTATAGAATTGAACCCTGATATCCTGATGTATCTAACAGCTTGATGTATTTCTAGCCGTACAGAACAGCTTCTCTGGTGATGCCTGGACCTAAAACTATAAATGAAATTGGAGCAGGGGCTCCAACATACAAACCATACAGGAATACATTCATTCTATTCAATATATTCATTTTTGAGAAGGCATGAGTGTATGTTAAAAATAAGTTTTCATCAAATATTAAACTGTCAACCCCCCCCTCCCCCCGAGGGCAAAACTATTGAAGCTTTGTGATATTTTGAAATTGTTAATGACATTTGAGGTCACAATAACGTATATTCTAAACTACTGGGTGGTTTATTGTGTTTGAAAATGTAGTTTGATAATATTAAATGAATCTATGGTACAGGGGGCCCCAGTACACCGTTAATAATCAGCATAAGGTAACATATATTATACATAACCAATTTAACCGTTTACTTTTATCCTAAGCCAAGGAAAGTTGTGCGAACCTTTGGCCCAGGGGGGGGGGGGTTAACCCCTTGGTCCACATTTCCTAAGGCACACTGAGAATCTGAAAGCTAATGCCTTCAGAAAACTAACTAACAAATTGACAAAGGCATTAAATTGTACATGAAGTATTAACAGTAAAAAAAAAAAAACTAAAAAGAAAAAGAGGTAAAGAGGTCGACTTGATAGTTTTCTGAACAAAAATCCTCCTTTTAGATAAAAGAATATGAAGGTAAAGACTACACCCAGTCCATTCCCCCAGATTCTCCAGACCAGTGTCCTAATCATCTTTATCAAGCAGACACTCATTTCAATACTGAGGTGGAATAGATTTAGATCGATAGATGGATCAATATATAGATAGATAGAGTGCTATAGATTACACAGATAGGACACAAAGTAGTTGTTGTTCTTGTAAGTTATCTTTGTTAATGCTGAGTGTTATCCGTGCAACGTGCCGTGTTGAACTCAAAATATCAGAATATTCTCTATTCACAATGGTACCATTAAAACATTAATCTGATCATTAATTGGACAAACCATTATTAATGGAGGGTCAATCAAATTACGTTAACAGTCCCTTTAGCCAGATCAAAAAATTAAGATTTAAAGTGAAAAATAGAAACAAAAACAAAAACATAAACTTCAAATATCTTGTCCTATCTGTATTTTTTTCCTAAGCGGCAACTTCCCAAGTCTGCCCTGGCCGCAGCGCTCAGCCCTCAGTATGTTCCAGCCACGGCACTCGTCCCCATATCCAATCCTTGCCGCAGCGCTCGGCCCCCCCCCCATTGCAGCCTGCGGCCCCTCAGAGGGCGTTACTCGACCTTTGGAAAGTTGCCGCTTGGGACATCATTGCACATTTGGGAAGTTGCTACTCGGGAAATTCTCACTGGGGAAGTCGCCATTGGGAAAATGTCTTTGGGAGTGTACCTAACACCATGGCAAATGACCCTCCATTTATACAGCAGCATGTCCGATTGACAACGGAACCTTGTTACCAGAATAAACTCGAATTTCCCGGCACTTAATTTTCAGTTGAAATATGAGGGATATCTACGTAATCCTTGATCAGACAAAGGTTTAAAGGATACCGTTGTAAACGGACATTTTACTATGTTTAATGGACACTGAGATCAAGACATCAAACATTTAGACAGCCTCGACTTGAAAGTGTCGCACTCGCAACGCCTTCTTGGCCTTTCACTTGCAATTATTTCTACAGTTTCTTCTAAAAACAACAATTTATCGAAAAACAATTTTTAAATATTCAAAATGCACTTGACAATCAACAAAATATGCCTTGCGCATGCTTTAATAAATATTTGACTAAATTAGGCCCATTCCAATGAATTTTCCTGACCTAATTGAAACAAAAGAAAACAATTTTAAGAATTCAAAAACTTTCAAACTACAGAATTATAAGCATTGTGATAAATTCCTTTTTACATACGTGAAAACAACTTCTTTTGATCGAAAAAGACTTTAAAATCACAATTTCCCCTTCAGGCACTAATATTCAATAAAAATTGAATAAAACCTCTGTAAAATTTAACACTATATGTACATCTAGGGGTCAGGGGCTACCTCTGTAAAAATGAAGTTCAATACAACCCTTTGTAAAAATGAAGTTCAATAAAACCCTTTGTAAAAATGAAGTTCAATAAAACCCTCTGTAAAAATGAAGTTCAATAAAACCCTCTGTAAAAATGAAGTTTAATAAAACCCTCTGTAAGAAGACTTGTCCCATCTGGAGACACAATAAAAGAAACAAACTGTCAGCTTTCTTCAGAAAAAAACAACACATATTTTGTGGGAAATTTATTTCTTGTCTCTGCTCCATAAATCCGCAACCCATTTGAATGGGAGGCCTGTCACTTGAAATTATTTTCATAAAGTGTAAAATAAAATTTTTTCTTGCTAAGAGCATAGTTTTCTATAAAATTATCACTGATTTCTAAATTGTAGAATTTTTGGTTGTCATTCAAGTCATTCAAGTCATTCAAGTCATATTCAAGTCATTCAAGTCATATTCAAGTCATTCAAGTCATATTCAAGTCATTCAAGTCATATTCAAGTCAGATTCAAGTCATTCAAGTCAGATTCAAGTCATTCAAATCAGCACCTTTATTTCAGATAATATAAGTAACTCTGAAAGGAACTGAGTTTTTGCCACAAAATCAAATTTTCTAATCTAATATCTTTGGAACCTGATAATGTAAACCTTTGATATTTCAAACTTAGACTACTTGATCCAGCAAAATTTATAGTTTGAAATATCAAAGATCTACAACATCGGGTTGCAAAGATAACAGGATTAGAAAATCAGAGTTTGTGGCAAAAACTCAGTTCCTTTAATGAACAAGGCCAAATAATATCTCTTGACATTTCTGAGAAACAAGTCACCAAAGTTTGAGGTATGATGTAAATTCAAGGAATCCTTTATCACTTTAATATAAGCAATCATGAGACGGAACTAATCCCAGTACTGTTCGAGGATAGGGTCGGGCCGGTAGGAATTCATTAAAGTATTTCCAATTCATAACTTTCCTAGATGTGTTATACATTGAAATCATTTTAACTTTCGATACTGAACAAAGTTTAAATAAATTTCTTGTGAAAAAGTCTTATTTTGAAAAAGTTTTCGCTTCCTCTCGTCAATTTTATTGTTTCAAAATAAATCTTTTTTTTTCTACAATATCGTGTTTTGACTTAAATAACCCTTCCTCGCGCTGATCACTCTCTTTACAAGTGCACCTTGGCGTGTAATGACGAATGTGCTAAAAATATCCGTTTATCAGTGCAAACTGTAGACAAGTGTTTTATTACATCAGACCTGAGTTATCTGATCCTAAAATATTCTAACTTTGCACAATTCTAACTCAAAACAGACCTGCTAAGAATATGCCGCGCAGATAAAAATGCAAAAAATGCTTTCTTTAACTTAAATTCAAAATTTCATTTTTAAATTTTTTATAGTTATAGTTGTTGTATTTATTTTCAAACATAAAATACAAAATAATAATGGTTCAGCTTAAAATAAAACACAAAAGATTATTTATTTTGAGCCAATTAAAAATATGATGTTTAATAATTTTTTCTGATCGGTAATTGTTATATTAAAATAAATTTAAAAAACAGGAGGAGATTTTTGAAGAAAAATGCATTCAAATATATCTGACAGATCCAGAGGTAGATAAAAACAGTAGAGGAAATACGGAAAACTACCCAAAGGATAAGCTTAAGATAAAAATTTCACAATAATCATAAAATAACCAGCTTAGAAGACAAGTAAATACTGAATTCATAAATCTGGTTTCTAAATGATTTCAACACAACGCACAGGATGACTTAAACGATAACTTTTGCAGCGACATTTTGCTAATTTATGAATTTAAAATAATTTAGCAAATGATGCATAAATCATGGCTTCAAACTATTTAAGTTTTCAAATACAATGAGAAAAAATGATAATAATGACAGTATCATAATGTTTGATTCACGACAGTATCCTTTTGACTGATCAAGGATGTCGGACTTTGTATTAGTGAATACATTGTTTGCAACCTGTTTTATTTTTTAAATATTTGAGAGATTTAACCTTGATAAACAGTCAAGGTTTAGAGGGTATCTCGCTAATCTGTGAACGGGCACTTTTATCTTTGCATGGAGACTCTTATGAAATCACGCTTACAGTCCCTTTTATAATGTCCTGGAAATCCATGTGAAACTTGAAATTTGAAACCTAGGAATTTGTATTCTTTTACGAAAAGAAGACTGTAGAGCTTATCAGGGGAAATTTGAAGGGTAATGAGGATGAAAACTAAAACTAAAACTGAAAAAGGGATTGTTCAGATGAATGAAAATAAATGCCCAGGAATTTTTTTAAAATTCAACCAATTAGAGGGGAAAAGTTAGCAGAAATCAAAAATGTCCACAGAGAATATTGAGATAAAGTAACCTGTATCCAATTCTAAAGTTTTCAGCTCAAGGTTTAAACAATATGCAACTAACAAGACACGTAAATTCTAAAAATTTAAACATCTAATAAAGCTATGGATCACTGAAACACTTACAGATAGAGATAAGTTTATGGGTAGATAGATAAGTTAAAACTTGTAGGTAGACATTAGGATAGTTAGATAGTAAGGTAAAAATATGGATAGAAAGAAAGAAAGATGGATAGATAGCTTGATAGATAGTTATAGAATTTAGTGAATGTAAAAGAGAAGTTATGTTGATAAATTATTCAGAGGTTTTTCAAACTTTTACCACATCACACTACTTTCTCTGTATAGTGTATACCACACCAACATACACCACATTACTCAACAATCTACACATTTACCACATCAAACTACTTTCTCAGTATAGTGTATTCCACATCAAAATACACCACATTACTCAACAATCTACACATTTATCAAATCACACTACTCTCTCTGTATAGTGTATTCCACACCAAAATACAGAACATTACTCAACAATCTACACAATTACCACATCACACTACTTTCTGTGTATAGTTTATACCACACCAAAATACAGCACATTACTCAACAATCTACACATTTACCACATCACACTACTTTCTATATATAGGGTATGCCACACCAAAATGCACCAAATTACTCAACATCTAAACATTTACCAGATCACACTACTCTCTATGTATAGTGTATGCCACACCAAAATACACCACATTACTCAACAATTTACACATTTACCACAACACTCTACTCTCTGTATAGTGTATGCCACACCAAAATATAGCACATTACTAAAAAATCTACACATTTACCACATCACAATACTCTTTGTATATAGTGTGTACCACACCAAAATACAGCATATTACTCAATAGTCTACTCTACACATTTATCTTTGTATATAGTGTGTACCACACCAAAATACAGCATATTACTCAATAGTCTACTCTACACATTTACCACATCACAATACTCTTTGTATATAGTGTGTACCACACCAAAATACAGCATATTACTCAATAGTCTACTCTACACATTTACCACATCACAATACTCTTTGTATATAGTGTGTGCCACACCAAAATACAGCATATTACTCAATAGTCTACTCTACACATTTACCACATCACAATACTCTTTGTATATAGTGTGTACCACACCAAAATACAGCATATTACTAAATAGTCTACTCTACACATTTACCACATCACAATACTCTTTGTATATAGTGTGTACCACACCAAAATACAGCATATTACTCAATAGTCTACTCTACACATTTACCAAATCACAATACTCTTTGTATATAGTGTGTACCACACCAAAATACAGCATATTACTCAATAGTCTAATCTACACATTTACCACATCACAATACTCTTTGTATATAGTGTGTACCACACCAAAATACAGCATATTACTCAAAAATCTACACATTTACTACCACCCAATGTAGCGTTTAGTTTTTCAAATTTAACCTAGCCACAAGGCCAGGACAAAGACCAACAACAGAGATGTTATCTTGGGCTCAATAGTTGATGAATAATTTGTACATCTTTGTGTATGTAGACACATTAGGTTTTTCCATGATGCAGGGTTACCCTGAAAAGATGAGACTTCAGTGATGACTCTACGTAATTTAAACTGCCTGTTTCCTTAAATTTACGATTCTCTGCAACTGGTTTCTTCCTTTTTTCCCAAGTCATTAAATAATCCATTTAAAATTTATATTCAAGGCAGAAGATAATTAACTTAACTTTGGAATCGTCATATTTTTTAGAGTTTCAGGTCGTCATTAAAACCTCATCATTTGTGAGTAACCCTGCATTTAGTTAAAATTGCTAAAATTGTTATGCTAAACAAAATACATATATTTGTAATATTCTGCAATCAAGCCAGAAAATTCGAACCTAACCCTGAAATAAAAATTCCTTGCAATTTTCATAATATTTCATTCAATTGTTGAAAATTAAAAAATATTGTGTGTTCAAAACCTCACGTGGAAATATGATACTTTTCCATGATATAGTTTAATATAAATTAGAGGTAAATACGTGATATTTTTGAATTAGATTGTACTAAACATAGTAAATATAAAATACATTGATTTTTTTAGATAAATTTTTTATTATTTCAAACTAGAATATTATTTAGTTTGGTGCAACACAGTCAGGACAATACAATTCTCCTGAACATCTTTATAATGAAGAATCTCTAGCTAAGACACCCAGGATTAATCAGGTACTAATGTATTAGGGACGGGGGGGGGAGGTAATTTCTCCTTACATTTGACGACCAATATAGGAGACGTCAAGTTGTCGACCGATGAAGTTTACAGAAGGAACGGCCTCCTGTATCAGTACAGCCTATTAGTACAAAACAGTTTAGAACAAATTAGAACAGAACAACACAGAGCAGTACAGTACATTACAGAACAGTGTTGTACAGTACAGAATTGTACAGAACAGAACAAAGTTGTATATAATCTAGGGTGTACTGCATCTTCCTACTCCTGGTAATGCAACCAACTCTAAACAACATGAATCAGAAACGTTTAAGGTTAGAAAAATTTATCGAATGTTTTAATTATTTCCTGCATTTTCCGTTCTACGCTAATACGACTTTTATTTCAAATTTTGAGAACCCCCATAATTATTAGCCAGATGAACCTTAAAAAATTCATTTACTTAAAAAAATAAACATACTTCTTGTTAAGAAACGTAATTTGCTGAGGCTAACAAGAAATATTAGAACCCCTTCTTTTGACTATGTTGCCCCCCGGTTTCCTTAAAAATTTCAGCCGGCCATATTGGTCCAGCCGTTTAGCCAGCTATTGCTAACATACATACATATATATATATATATATATATATATATATATACACTCAAAAACAGATCTTTAAAATGTGTTACTTGTCTCAAATGAATCTTTAAAAATTTCTCTACATGCAAAACTGCAATCTCAGTTCAACCACCATACATTGCCGGTCACTCCCTTTGAATTGTTGAGTATGTTTCGTGATATAATTCCTCTTCTATATTGGATTGGAATATTCTAGATTGTTCTGGAATCTTATAATTCCTCTTCTATATTGGAATATTCTAGAGATTGTTGTTCTGGAATCTTATAATTCCTCTTCTATATATTGGAATATTCTAGATTGTTCTGAAATCTTATAATTCCTCTTCTATATTGGAATATTCTAGATTGTTCTGAAATCTTATAATTCCTCTTCTATATTGGAATATTCTAGATTGTTCTGGAATCTTATAATTCCTCTTCTATATTGGAATATCCTAGATTGTTCTGAAATCTTATAATTCCTCTTCTATATTGGAATATTCTAGATTTTATAATTCCTCTTCTATATTGGAATATTCTAGATTGTTCTGGAATCTTATAATTCCTCTTCTATATTGGAATATTCTAGATTGTTCTGGAATCTATATTGGAATATTCTAAATTGTTCTGGAATCTATATTTGAATATTCTAGACTGTTCTGGAATCTATATTGGAATATACTAAATTGTTCTGGAATCTATATTGGAATATTCTAGACTGTTCTGGAATCTATATTGGAATATTCTAAATTGTTCTGGAATCTATACTGGAGTATTCTAGATTGTTCTGGAATCTGAGATGGATGGAACCAAAACACAACATGGAATAGGGAGATTATAAAACTTAATAATAATTATACAGATATTCTTGAACTTAGCAGTACACAAGTAAAGGGAATTTGTTTATAGGACAAAAAACAAATCCATGTAGGCCTAAATTAAAATTGAAAATAATTTTGTTTCAATTTACTATTTTAGTATTTAATTCCTGAAAAAAACCTTCCTAAAAACGACATTTTTATCATTTCATTCATTCTATCTTTTAATTTTTATATTAAGCAGAGATGAATTTTCAATCAATCAAGTATATTAAATGTTTTAGAAGTTTTATTATTTTGGTTTCAGTGTATAGACTTTTAATGATGAAGTTTAAAAGTTTTATAAATTTTGTATAGCATTTAGATTTTCTTCAAGTTTTACAAGAAACAATTTTCATAAACTTTTTATTGGACTTGGTTATATTGAAACATTATACAATTTTTGTATTGAGAAGTTGAATTGTTACTTAACTTTTGTATCGTGTAGTTTCAGTATTTATTAGTTTTGTATCGTGTGATTTCAGTATTTTATTATTTTTATATCGGGTAGTTGCATTATTATATAAGTTTTGTGTCGTGTAGTTGGAAGAAACTTTGAAAAGTTGAATCATGGCGGAGAGAGACCTACATCTCAGCTCTCTGATAGATCCTATAGAACGGATGTAAGATTTTAAATCAACAATTTTCAAAAACTGTAAATTGGGGTTAAAGTTTATTTTCACCAAAAAAACTCATATTGTTACCAATTGTAAATGTCTATTGTTACCAATTGTAAATGTCTGTACGTTTGGAACAGACACCAATTAGTTTCTGTGATATTAACCGGCAACGTTTACAAAATCAAACATTTCAAACCATTAAGTTTATTTAAATGAATAATCATTATAAAATTTATCCAAGGGGAAATTTTTTCCTAAAAAATATTACTCTTATTTTTCAAATCTATAAATTTGCAAGCTGATGGTTCATGCCTTTGATATTTAAAAGTTAGATTACTTTATCTAGCTGAATTTATCGTTTAAAAAATCAAAGGTCTGAGACATCAAGGACCGAATTTAAAGAACTTGAGAGTTCACTGAACTGCTACCGCAAATTCAAATAGTGAATCACCAATTCAAATCCTCATGAATCTTTAACTTTGAATCGGTGATTCAAGATTTGAACTGGTGCGGCGGATAGTAGTTCAGCGACCTAGCTAATATTCATTAAATAGAGTCTGAGGCGAGTAATCAGCTTATTTAAAAGTAATATCAAGGATTTAATATTTTTACAATATTATTTTCAGCCTGTTCTAAACAATACTTCCATCAATCAAAGTGCTTCTTTCAAGAAGGTTTGTTTCATTTATCCTATATATTCTCATCCTATATATTCTCATCCTATATATTCTCATCTTATATATTCTCATCTTATATATTCTCATCCTATATATTCCCATCTTATATATTTTCATCCTATATATTCTTATCCTATATATTCTTATCCTATATATTCTCATCTTATATATTCTCATCTTATATATTCTCATCTTGTATATTTTCATCCTATATATTCTCATCCTATATATTCTCATCTTGTATATTCTCATCCTATATATTCCATCTTATATATTCTCATCCTATATATTCTCATCCTATATATTCTCATCTTATATATTCTCATCTTATATATTCTCATCTTGTATATTCTCATCCTATATATTCTCATCCTATATATTCTCATCTTATATATTCTAATCCTATATATTCTCATCCTATATATTCTCATCCTATATATTCTCAATCTATATATTCTCATCCTATATATTTTTATCCTATATATTCTCATTTTATATATTCTCATCCTATATATTCTCATCTTATATATATTCTCATCTTGTATATTCTCATCTCGTATATTCTCATCCTATATATTCTCATCTTATATATATTCTCATCCTCAATAGTCGATTTTAGTTTCGTCCGGTAAAAATCGAATAAGTGCGGGTAAACGGCGGGAGTAACTATGAGAACCCTGTGCAACGCTGGGTTCCCAAGCTAGTTTTATATATGATCATAAGCCCCACGGAAGCGTTCATATATCTACGTTAAGAAGAACTTTTTAACTTTATGAAAAGATAATAATTTTTCTGTTTAGTTGATGCATTCTGTGCTGGGAGAATCTGAATTCTAAGGATTTCTGGAAAATTCCTCAAAAATTTTAATTTCCATAATAAAATGGTACTCTACTGATACATGCCTTTGAACCATGTTTTAACTATGGTTAAAACATAATATATATATATATAATATATTTAATATATATATATATATATAATATATTTAATATATATATATATATATAATATATTTAATATATATATATATATATAATATATTTAATATATATATATATATATAATATATTTAATATATATATATATATATAATATATTTAATATATATATATATATATAATATATTTAATATATATATATATATATAATATATTTAATATATATATATATATATAATATATTTAATATATATATATATATATAATATATTTAATATATATATATATATATAATATATTTAATATATATATATATATATAATATATTTAATATATATATATATATATAATATATTTAATATATATATATATATATAATATATTTAATATATATATATATATATAATATATTTAATATATATATATATATATAATATATTTAATATATATATATATATATAATATATTTAATATATATATATATATATAATATATTTAATATATATATATATATATAATATATTTAATATATATATATATATATAATATATTTAATATATATATATATATATAATATATTTAATATATATATATATATATAATATATTTAATATATATATATATATATAATATATTTAATATATATATATATATATAATATATTTAATATATATATATATATATAATATATTTAATATATATATATATATATAATATATTTAATATATATATATATATATAATATATTTAATATATATATATATATATAATATATTTAATATATATATATATATATAATATATTTAATATATATATATATATATAATATATTTAATATATATATATATATATAATATATTTAATATATATATATATATATAATATATTTAATATATATATATATATATAATATATTTAATATATATATATATATATAATATATTTAATATATATATATATATATAATATATTTAATATATATATATATATATAATATATTTAATATATATATATATATATAATATATTTAATATATATATATATATATAATATATTTAATATATATATATATATATAATATATTTAATATATATATATATATATAATATATTTAATATATATATATATATATAATATATTTAATATATATATATATATATAATATATTTAATATATATATATATATATAATATATTTAATATATATATATATATATAATATATTTAATATATATATATATATATAATATATTTAATATATATATATATATATAATATATTTAATATATATATATATATATAATATATTTAATATATATATATATATATAATATATTTAATATATATATATATATATAATATATTTAATATATATATATATATATAATATATTTAATATATATATATATATATAATATATTTAATATATATATATATATATAATATATTTAATATATATATATATATATAATATATTTAATATATATATATATATATAATATATTTAATATATATATATATATATAATATATTTAATATATATATATATATATAATATATTTAATATATATATATATATATAATATATTTAATATATATATATATATATAATATATTTAATATATATATATATATATAATATATTTAATATATATATATATATATAATATATTTAATATATATATATATATATAATATATTTAATATATATATATATATATAATATATTTAATATATATATATATATATAATATATTTAATATATATATATATATATAATATATTTAATATATATATATATATATAATATATTTAATATATATATATATATATAATATATTTAATATATATATATATATATAATATATTTAATATATATATATATATATAATATATTTAATATATATATATATATATAATATATTTAATATATATATATATATATAATATATTTAATATATATATATATATATAATATATTTAATATATATATATATATATAATATATTTAATATATATATATATATATAATATATTTAATATATATATATATATATAATATATTTAATATATATATATATATATAATATATTTAATATATATATATATATATAATATATTTAATATATATATATATATATAATATATTTAATATATATATATATATATAATATATTTAATATATATATATATATATAATATATTTAATATATATATATATATATAATATATTTAATATATATATATATATATAATATATTTAATATATATATATATATATAATATATTTAATATATATATATATATATAATATATTTAATATATATATATATATATAATATATTTAATATATATATATATATATAATATATTTAATATATATATATATATATAATATATTTAATATATATATATATATATAATATATTTAATATATATATATATATATAATATATTTAATATATATATATATATATAATATATTTAATATATATATATATATATAATATATTTAATATATATATATATATATAATATATTTAATATATATATATATATATAATATATTTAATATATATATATATATATAATATATTTAATATATATATATATATATAATATATTTAATATATATATATATATATAATATATTTAATATATATATATATATATAATATATTTAATATATATATATATATATAATATATTTAATATATATATATATATATAATATATTTAATATATATATATATATATAATATATTTAATATATATATATATATATAATATATTTAATATATATATATATATATAATATATTTAATATATATATATATATATAATATATTTAATATATATATATATATATAATATATTTAATATATATATATATATATAATATATTTAATATATATATATATATATAATATATTTAATATATATATATATATATAATATATTTAATATATATATATATATATAATATATTTAATATATATATATATATATAATATATTTAATATATATATATATATATAATATATTTAATATATATATATATATATAATATATTTAATATATATATATATATATAATATATTTAATATATATATATATATATAATATATTTAATATATATATATATATATAATATATTTAATATATATATATATATATAATATATTTAATATATATATATATATATAATATATTTAATATATATATATATATATAATATATTTAATATATATATATATATATAATATATTTAATATATATATATATATATAATATATTTAATATATATATATATATATAATATATTTAATATATATATATATATATAATATATTTAATATATATATATATATATAATATATTTAATATATATATATATATATAATATATTTAATATATATATATATATATAATATATTTAATATATATATATATATATAATATAATATATATATATAATACATAATTGTCTAACTTTATGAATCTTATGTCATATAAAGCTGTAAACACATGACATATGTTTGTACAAGAGTTCTGTAGTTATGTTCTAGCTATATACTGATGTTTTATCCAAGTACACCGTACATTTACTTTAGACATGACACATTTGTTCTAGAATCTAGCAATGTACATATGTCATAGATATTCATTATAATGTTTAAGCTTCATAGAATGGTACTCATGTCTTTATAAGGACTAGCTGTGTACTCTTGTTATAACTGTGTATTAATGTCCTAAATATATTATTTTCTGCTTGAAGTAAATATATTTTAAGCTAATATAGAAAATAATATTGTTAGCCATGCTAAGAATATTTGTAAAGAAATATGTAAATATATATATATTATATACATAGTTCCGACCAACTGGTGTTACATGNAGTATATCAATATATATATATATGTATTCTCAAGTATTCATTTATCCAGAAATATTTATTCGTGTAACAAATCAATGTGTTGGTGCAGTAATATACTTGTTAAATAAATGATATAATGCTTTTATTACTCAATAGAGATAGAAATAGTTTAATTTTTAATAACTTTACTCTGTTAAGACTAAAAGAAATGGGTTAAGTCAGAATTTACAAAGATTTAAACTACATGGTGTCTCTGAAAAAAGTGCTTTTAGGCTTTTTAGCCTACTAAACATCATTGTTTTGTGTTAAAAAGTGGTTCTAGTAGGTTACCCACCAATGGGGGGGGATGAAACATTTTTCTCTTAAACGCCGTTTTAACCTTGAAAACCAGGCATAATAATGTGCTCGGTCCCATTTCTGATGTTATGTTTTGACCCACTAAACGTAGTTTTATTCTATCTACAATGTGTGACTAGTAGGTACAATGTCCTTAANACATTTTACTCTAAAATTCCGTTCTAGTATTTAAAGTGTACTCGAAATGTAGTTGGTCCCTTTTCAAAAGATTTTCAATAAATGTCGTATTAATATTGATAATTTAGCATAAAAACATAAACTTTTGGGACGCACATTTTCTCTGTACATTGAACCTTCTGAAAAAGAGAAAATTTCTGTCCAACAACTTTATAACACTGCGAACCAAAATAATAGCGTTATAATAGTTTTATTGAATATATTCAATATATTCTATATATTTAATATATTCAATATATTCAATGACAAATTTCCAGAAAGAAAAAAATATTTGTGTCATGGTCCAAAAGAATAGAGATAAACACAAACAAACCTTTGCTAATCTATATATCTGTGCAATCTTAAAGTGTAAACCTTTGTTATTTCAATCTTAGATTACTTGATCTAACAACATGCATAGTTTGAAATATCCTCAGAATATATTTATAGAGTACATATATTCAGAGGAAATATCTAAAAGGTCTACGACAGTGGGTCGGAAAGATATATGAGTCTGTGGAAAAAAATGCTACTTATTTATCTTGCATTGACTAAGTAATCATTCTTTCCTCGTTCTCTTTCTCTCTAAAAAATGACTAATGGTTTTAACAATGATCTATTTAGAAAATCAAATTAGTGTTAATAGTTGATACTGCGTAATTCAATGGTTTGCATGCATATTTTTGTATTTAATATGGAATGGCAAGTACAGACATTTCCGTGGTATTATTCACAATTCTCTTAATATCGAGAGACATATTTTGTTTTAGATTCTTTGGTTTCAGCTTTTGGTCAGAAATAAGAGAAAGATTAGTACTGCGCCATATCGTTTTAACATAATATTTTTCTCACGCTTATTTCTGACTGTGTATTGCATATATTTGTCTTGAGAAAAATGGAACGATTAAAAAAAGACAAAAAAAACCCTCGTTACTGTCATGTAAAAAGTCATTGTATACGAATTTGTTCTATTTTAGTCAGAATTACAATAACAAAGCCAGATCTTAAATTTCTTAAAATAATTCATAATTGGGTTTAATGATAGAATAAAGGTTCAGGTACAAGTTGAAATAAAATAGAAATAATAAATTTCAGGGAAACAGTTTCATGTTTTCAATGTCGATAATTCTAATAAGATTATGATCAGGAGTGCAGACCTTAAGCTTAACTTTGAGAGTGGCAGTAATGCAATCACTTGGCATGCACATATGGTGCATTACATGAACAGTGTACAATTTTTAGTGTAAAGTGTACGGTTTATAGCGTACAGTTTACAGTGTACACTGGAAAGGGTACTTTTGTGTATCTAACTGTACTATGTATAGGAATAAAAATGTACACTCTAAAAAACTCAACAATCAGTGTACACTGTATGCTGTTTGTGAAATACTGTATAGTGTATACTGTACATCCATTTGAATGAATGCCAAAGGGCCTGTAAGCGTAACTTCAAGTGACCCTTCGTGCATAGATGACACGTCGGATTCACAACGGTACACTAGAAATCTGTATCTGATTAAAAGATATTGTGATTTTTCTAGGTTTAACAATGTTTCGTTTAGTTTTCCTGTCGTAGAAATCCGCAAGTCACTTTTGTTTAGAAGCCACGATTAAAAAAAGTCTGTTTTCAATTCTATAAATATTGTTATCTAATTCATCTGATCAAGGTACCATTCTGAATCGGACATTACCGTCTTTGCACGTGAAATTACGCTTCCAGACTCTTCAATACAATTAAAAACAAAACAAATTTAAAATCCATATTTTGATTATTTACAAGAATATTTATACAAGAAAACAAATATACATAGTTTGTAAAATCAGTATTATTATGATAAAACTAGAATGTTCCAGAATATGAAAAAGGGGTATTTTTATAAAAATCTAACACTATTTTAAGTCTTAAACAATAATAATACTTAGAGTTAGTTTTTGACACATTTTATCGGTTAGCGCACACTTTAATTAAACAGGTTTACATCTCACACAAAATAGAAATAAGAAAAGAATTCTGTAAAAATATAATTCAGAAAAATCTTCCTGCAAAGGAATTTTTGTTCTTAAGTTAACGGAGTTTTTTTTGCGCAATTAAGGCAACAGATTTAATTCTTTGAAAAGGAATATATGCGAGCATGAATAAATGAATCATAAATTGCAAATGTTACAATTATGCACTAAATTAGCAATTCAGTTAGCAGATGAGCAACTTCAGGCCTGATAATGAGTTTGCAAGGAAGGGTAATAAAGCAGCCGTGAAGAAAATTTTATAAAATGAATGTATGAGGACAAGGGAACAGTTGGAAACATTCTTAAAAGGACTGTAGGCGTAATTTCGAGTAATCTTAACCATTTCAAGAAGGACACAACCGATTTACTTTCTTTATCTATCTACAGAAACACTTTGTAATTTCTTTTTAAGAAAAATTAATATTTACTTTCAAGAAGTCGCAGAATATAAATATTCGCATTCGAATTTTGAAAACCGTGTTAGACATAGAAAATTCTAGATTTTCTTGGAATAAATGTGACGTCATCCCGCGTTGAGTTCACACAGTAGACTGGCGTACAATTTCACGTAATTTTACACAATATTTCAGAGATATATCTAATGACTTCTTTGTCCTCGGTTATCAGTTAAAGGTTTAAAGGGTACCGTTGTGAATCGGCGATGTCCTTCTTTAAATAGAATGCCACTGAAAATTACGCTTAAAGTCCCTTTAAATGAAAAGTTTAAAAAATGACGCATCAAATTTTGATGGTAATATTTTTTGGAATAAAGATAAGTACTTATTACCCAGCAAGGTATGACGAGCATAACAAGAAAATATAAGCTCTGAGCTGGAAACCTTTGTGTTATCCATAATCCAGATCCCTTCATCTCTATATCCACACTGAGCACTTCCACAGACGACAATTTTCAGCTTTAGATCGATATTAAGCATTGATCTTGATATTCACAATACATGAGTTCCCACTTCAGAATATTTTAAATAAAGATAGTATACGTCCATTTAAAGAGTGAGGCGGGGGGGGGGGGGGGGGGGGGGGTCAGGGTTGAACTGGAGTTAAATGGCAATATTTTTAACAAACTTCAGAAAATTCTTTTTAAATAACAAAACTATTTGAGATTCTAATATGATAAAAAGTTTTCTTATTTTTCTATTATTCAATAGCAGTTGATTTAACAAAAATGTTTAACAATAGCTGATTCCATATTCTATATTGCCACTAAAGGCCATAGGATCAGTTTCCTGTAGTTTACTACGACCTCCTTCCTGGTTAAAATCATGACCTCCATCAACTTTCAACTCTTGACCTTCATCAGAGTTTAACTCTTGATCTTTATCCAGCTCTCGTCCTCGTTCATCAGTTATCAGCTCCTGTCCTCCGTCAGTTCCAAGTTCTCGGCCTCCATCAGTTCTCTGCTCACGGCCTCCAAAAACTCTTGGTAACCGACCTCCAACGACTCTGCCTCCATCAGGTTTAGGCTGCTTAGACTGTTCTAGAAAAATATAAGATATCTTCTGGCTTTACACATGCATATTACATACTAGCTGTAATGCCTGGCGTTTGCCCAGGTAGCTTGGTATTAAATCAAGAGATTTCAAAAAAATTTGCCTTTGTCAATTGTTACCCCTAGGGCACCCATGGTGATCCCTTAGCCTTTTAAAAAAAGTTTGAAATTTTCTTTGTTTAAATTCGTTAAAATTTGGAAAGAAAAGGACAATTTTGGCACGAGGACCGAAAACCCTGAAATAATAGCTGAAAATTGCAATTCTAGGTTACTTTTTTCGCTTACAGAAATTGTGTTTTAACCGCAAACTAAACATGATCTAGTCCCTATATTTATGCAACCTGTTGGTGCAAACTTTTGATATTTCAAACTTAGATTATTTGATCTAACTGATTTCATAGTTGAAATATCTAAGGTCTTCCACATTGGGTTGCAAAGATATATGGATTTGGAAATAATATTTTGTGACAAAAACTCAATTCCTTTCAACGGATTAAAAATTTCTTTTAAAAATTTGATATACATCTCAAGATGGAAAAAGTTATATATTTATATTTGTGTTTCTGAAAACTTGATCATTTACATGATTTTCACATGTTTCACTGTTGAAAATCAAATCATTATCGTCAACCTTTCTCCGGCTAAATCTGATTTCCCTTCCACACTTATTTTTTCTAGAACAAATATTTGTTCCTAACTCTGTGGATCACAAACATGTAAGAGTTGGCCAGTGTTGCTAAATTAAGTTAAGGAACTCATTTCTATCATTCTCTTCAAGTTTTACTTCCTTTCAATCACACAGTATTCTCAGTTTCTCCTTCAAACTTATTTTATTCAAATCTAGATTCTTTTATCCGAGAAACTCATTCTTTTACCCCCTCCTTCACACAAATGTTTTTGTTAAATCGCAATGTGATGGTAATTTTATTTTTACTGTTATTGTTATGATTGGTCCAGGCCCTTGTCAAAGGCCACTTTATCTCATTTCACTTCTGAAGCTAGCCAAAAATCTCTTTTGTCAATAAGGATAAAAATAAGAAGATATTTTAATAGGCGAAATATATTTAGATTTGTACAAAATATATTTTGTGAGTCTTCGTATGCATTCTTAGAATAAATACTATCGTATGTGATAAACATTAAATACAAAATACACTTTTCGCAGCTATTGTGACTGGATTGTATAAAAGAAAAAAACTGGGTCAACACACATTTTCTTAACCGTATTTGCTTTTTGATCCGCGAAATGATGATTAGATTTCCTCTATCAAATTTGAATTTTCCAAGATTTTTAGCTTCTGAAAGGTTGGGCATAATTCAACAGTTACGATGAGTTTGAGGCTGCACAGTGGTATAAAACTGTTACCTCGTGTTGTTGATGTTTTGTGTCAGTAAACCCATGATATTGGAACCCACTGTGGTGTTGTATTAATCTTCTCCAGAGCTCTCTCCAGGATCCTGGAGCAACAAATATTAAAGAAGAATTTTTGAAATCTTAATGGCTTCAACCAGATTTGTATGGAGCATACTTGATCAACTTTGAGAAAAGAATTTGACTTTTAAGAGAATAAAAATTTGAAATAAAATATCATTAACACATGCATATATGAGAATCTTAAGATTCACCTAAGGCCGCTGATTACAGTCCATTTTTTAAGCCTTTTAACTTTAAAGAAATTTACTTGAGTTAAGACCTCAAAACATGTTATTTTTGGACTCTAACAGATTTTTGCCACACACTTTTTTTGAAAAGATTTCTACGATTACAAAATTTTTAATTCAGCGTTCCAATTTTTTTATTTATTCTCTTCTATGGGTCATCTCATAAAAACCGGTTTTCGTCCACGAAATACTGACTTGAATGAAAAAAGTTTTCTCGAAAAGACGTTTTAATATCCAATATGTATGCTATTCCGGGTGATGGAAGTGGAATTTCCAAAATTTACCTCACTTAATGTGTACTTAATATCCACTTAATGTCCGCTTTATGTCCACTTAATGTCCACTTAATGTCCACTTAATGTGTACTTAATGTCCACTTAATGTCCACTTATTGTCCACTTAATGTCCACTTAATGTCCACTTAATGTCAACTTAATGTCCACTTAATGTCCACTTAATGTCCACTTAATGTCCACTTAATGTCCACTTAATGTCCGCTTAATGTCCGATCTGTATCCAAAATTTAGATTTGTCATTTGTAATCTATCGAAAAAATCATCACGATACTCCCATTTTTCCTTTGATAAACTCAAGAAGGTATTTTTAAAATAAAATTTCTGTCATTTTGTTACTGGCATTCATTGTTTATTGGTTAAATAATGTAAAATTACCTGATTGTTTCGTCTATATCGTTATTAACTATTGTCAGATCGAAGAAATGTCCAAAAGTTTGTTTCAAGCTATCACTTTCTTTAGCTAGCCGCTCTAGGGAACCATCGTAGTCCTAGATAGATAGATAGATAGAAAGATAGATAGATAGATAGATATATAGACAGATGAATAGATAGATAGATAGACAGATAAAAAAGGCATTAACATTTAATTTTTAATTTTAGTAGGGGTCGTAAAAGTAACATTTTGACGTTCGATGTTTCCGTTTGGCGCAAAACTATGTCTAACTTTCAAAAATCTATCTGTTAACTTTAAACAATAAATAATTTGAATTATTCTATTCAAATCACAAAGTTTTGTGGGATCTGCTGAAATAGCAGAGGGTTTTTATGACTTTTTTGTGAACGTTGGACCCAGATTGTCTAGTTATATTCCTGATTCTAATGTCAATTTTGAAACATATCTGAAGGAGCCATCCAAGGAAGATTTTGTTTATGCAAATATTACACCAGAAATTATTCTTGAAACAGTGAGTAAACTTAAACCTAAAAACAGTTCAAGGTAAGGACAATATTTCTACCAAGCTACTGAAGGAAATAATTGAAAGTATTGTCTATCCTATAGCGCATTTGTTTAACCTTTCTTTTAAAACAGGATATATCCCTAGTGATTATAAATGTGCAAAAATAATTCCTATCTTTAAAACTGAACAAAAAGATAAATTTAATAACTACAGACCAATTAGTATTCTACCAGCGCTAAGTAAGCTTCTTGAAAAAATAGCTGCGACTCAAATGTTTAAATATCTTTGAGATTTTCTATCAACATCATAATGGATTTAGACCACAACATAATACTAATCAACCTTTACTACACCTAATGAATAAAATTTACGAAAATCTTAATAAACCCCAACCAGAATTTACACTGGGAATTTTTTTTAGATCTTAAGAAAGCTTTTGACTGTTGCAACTTAGATATTCTTTTAAAAAAACTAGAGTATTACGGTTTTAAAAATGTAGCTAACACATGGTTTCAAAACTATTTAGTAAATAGGACTCAATATGTTTGTATAAATGGTATTTTTTCCAATTTTATGTGGTGTTCCTTAGGGAAGTGTTCTTGGGCCCCTACTTTTTCTCATATACATAAACGATTTGCCTTTAGCAACGTCTTTTTTTACTAATCTATTTGCTGATGACACTAGTTTTCTAAAATCATCTCCACATATCGAAACTTTAGTAATTGATGCGAACCTTGAATGAATTTTTAAATTGGGACTATCAAATTGAACATGTTTCCAAGAAGATTGCTAGCACAATTTTTGCTCTGAATCAGATTAAAAACATTTTACCGTTAAACATTCGTCTGCTAGTCTATAATGCACTTGTAAGGCCACATATTGAGTATGGAATTATAACATGGGGGAGGGGGGCGTAAAAAATGCTAAACTACAGAAAATCAAGCCTCTTGAAAAAAGAGCAATTAGAGCAGTAAATAATAGTTCATTTAAGGCACACTCAGATCCAATATTTTTCAGATCAGAACTCCTAAATTTTGATGATACATATAAACTAGGTGTTCTATCTTTTATGCATAAATACTTTTATGAAAATCTTTCAGCTTCCTTCCAGGATATGTTTAATTCTTTAGCTGAACCAAATAGAACATAATCATATAAACTTGAACGGTTCGCTTTAAAACGCTAGAATGTTTTCCCTCCGCCTTATTTCCAAAAATAAGGAATTCGATTGAATTAGAGCTGAAAGAAACTAAATATGCAAAATTGTTCAAAAGAAAAGTCGCCAAGATCTCTTTAGATAGTTATGCAAATTATATCTGTAAAAAAAAATTGTGTATCATGTGGATAAACTTAGTCTTTACTATCTTCATCACCCTGTAGTTCATAAACATGATTTTAATAACTTATGTTACCCTCTAGTCCAACCTTTACGCTGAGTATCCTCCCTTTTCTTTATACTCCCTCACCTTCCTCCTTACCATTTTTCTTGATTTATCATCATTCTTATGTTTAAAATGTACAATGTACATTGTTTTTATCTGCAATTCTCATTCGTTTATAGTGGGCCAACCAATTAAAACAACCTACTCTGGTTAGGCGGGTCCAAACTACATAGTAAATTGTGATTTTTTTATTTGTATTATCTCGTGCTTTGTAGTTGAATAAAATATGAAATGAAATAAATTATTGCAGAGAGAAAACAACTTGACAATGTTTAGAAATCATAATAATGAATAATTATTTAGGTTACTATAATGTTTATATTTCAAACTATTTCTTAAAGAGACCCCAATTTGATGCCATGCCAAAAAAATAGCCTATTTCTATTGATTACCAAAGTTTATCAAAGCAGTTCCAATCATGAGGCCGGCATGTCTGCAACCAATCTTTTTAATGTTACTCTTTATTGAGCTCTGTTTATAGGATTAAGTATACAGTATACACCTTGGATTTCAGAAAGCCAAGAAGTAAAATCTAGGATGGTTTAGTTCAGATAGATGTAAATGATTTTTTTTGTTTCTTAAGGAATATTGGTTAGCTAAAGTTAACAGAGAGATTTTCAAATTTTCGACATAGTTTTTACGCCAAATATGGAAGGATCGGACAACAAAAACTGGCTCAGACGACCCCTTCTAAAATAAAAACTATATTAGGGCACATTTTAAAGTAATTTCAAAAGATTAAAGGGGCTATAAAATCCTAATTTCTATTTTTTCTGGATCACCCTGTAGATAGATAGATAGATCAATAGAATATTTACCTGTATGGTCTGTAAACAGGGTGAGGCGATAAAGACGACATATGGAGCATATTCAGCACTTCTTAAAATCTTTAACGCCTGAAATATTCACTTATTAAAATTAACTCCGATCACCATGTGAAATTCCAATTTTTTAAATTTTCCAATTGTTTCTTGATATTTTAATCGTTTTATTCAATTTTTCTTAATTTATACTTCAGTTCTCAAAAGTAAAAAAATATTTATATTTTACACTTTACCCAAATTTGCATATTTTCATGGTCTTTGAAATATCATTGTAACAGTTACAGTGCTAAACCTTTGAAAAATTCTCTGTAAAGAAAATCCCCTCTCTGTTAGCAAAAGTGTTTATTGTACACATCAAATCTACCAAATACGTTTCCACAAATCCTTTTACATCAACAATAACAATACCATTGGCTGGTTCAGATCAAATCTTTCTTTTCAAATATCAATAAGTCTCAAGGTTAAAGAGGAATTTAATGATCTTCACAATATATCTAATCTTCTCATTTATTAATATACTTTGCTTGTCTGTCTGTATCCAAAAAACGTCAGAACGGCTGTACCGATCAGGCAACTCACATGGCACTCACATGACAATATAGTGAAGGTTTATGGATGGTAGAAGATGAAAAATTTTCCATAACAAATGTTGACATTTATGTTTTTTGAAAATGCAAATATCTAAACAAAATAATCAAACAAAGAAAAAAGGCAGTTTGAAGACGGTAAAGTAATGGGAATTTTAAAAAAAATGAAATAACCTGAGGTTCGACGTCTAAGATTGCCATACGTCCGTCCGAATGAATATTTCGAATAGTTTCCAGCTTTGTACCGTACATAGAGTCCTCATGTGTTCCTGTACATAAATATATAAATAATAATGTACATACTTAAGAATAAAAAGAATACTGGAGATGAGATAAATTAAACATAAACATAAACTTAAACGGAAAACCAAGGATAAAAATTATTTTGTCATCAAAAGTAAAAGTTAATTGAGAAAGTGATAAACTTCTGCAACTTTTTTTTCGAACATCTAAACATTGCCACAAAATCTTTAGGGGGGGGGGGTGGATGTAGCATTATTACCCTCACAATAAGTGGATTCTGTATGCTGTCATGTTTGCCGTTATTAAAATCTTTAAACGACTTGCTTTAGCTGCCAAAAAATGGTCTGGCAGTGGTACTACGTAAAAATAAACCCAAAACGTTCAGCTGGGTAGTTTAAATATAAGCAACATAATACCCAGACATCTTGGGAAGAGCATTTCTAAATATTTCTTTATCCTAATGATGGAGTCTTAACCTTGCACTAAATCATGCAAACCGAACCATAATATACTCAACTCAGATTCTACAGTGAGTTCCAAAAATTATCAAACTTTTTACTTAACATTTTTGGAAAGGACAACGTTAATTAATTGACTCTTTACTTAATCTCAATAAAGAAATAAAAATATAGAAAATGTTTAACATGTTTTTTGAGACCTCCTGTATGAGAAAAGATGAGGGTTCGTGAGAACCAATATTTTTGATGATCTACTTCTCAACAACTTTCTGAGTTCTTAGACACAATTTATTTTAGATTTATTATACAGGCAAAAGTTGATAAAGACGTTCTTTAAGGTTTATTTCTATTTTGAAAATCATCTAACTATGTACATTGTACATTGAAGAGAAGTTTAGAGGAACAGCATAAATTTATTTGACGTAATTTTTATATATGAAAATTAAATATCTATCCAAATATGGAATAATGAGATATACTAGTTTTTATACCTAAAAATTTATTATTTTTAATTGCAAACTTATGCAGCAGAGACAACGAAGAAAATAGTCCGAAATCAACAATATAAAACGACGATATCGTTATCATTCTTTTCCATTGATTCTATTTTTTCTCAGAGTAACATAGACCTGCGCATAGAAGTTTTAGAAAAGCAGGATTCATTGAAAATAAATGGAACCTTAAAGACTTAAAAAAAGAATAAACCCTACTCACCATATTCTAGATATTCATTTCCAGCAATATCCGCCATCATCTCGTTCTGTGACACAAAATAGTAGTTCTTCCCATTCTCCTCTTCCCTCCTAGCACCTCTGAAACAGAGACATCTTGTAATAATTTTCTAAACTAATCTGTCTTTTCGTCAGCTTCCCCGCCCATCGCATAATTCCCGCTTAACTGATTGTAAATTTAACCAGATGCAGCCGGGCGGGGCAGTACACAAACCAGACCAGCTTACTGAAGTTGGTGTTACGGTGTACCGGGCGGGCCAGTACACACACCAGACCAGCTTACTCAAGTTGGTGTACCGGGCTGGGCAGTACACACACCAGACCAGCTTACTTAAGTTGGTGTGCCGGGCGGGCCAGTACAAACAAGGTCTGTTCAGATTCAAATGTACATGAGTTGAGTGTGCCCCCCCCTGGATCTATTTATTTAACATGTCATGTTTAGATCTTATATGGAAAGTGAAGTTATAATGTACAGCAGGGTCTCAGGGGATTTCAAGGCAGGGTGGGATTAATATATGTAGAATATGGTTGAGATAGACCATAGAAAGGGAATTAAGGGGGTTGGAAGGGATTACGACAAGGGATTAAATTTGGAGGAGGGCGGAATGGGATTAAATGAGTTTAATGGATTATTAAAGAATGAATACAAGAAAGTAATGGGAAGTAAAAGTTAATTTTCTATACAGAATACAATTTTCTGTTAATTAGCAAAACATCTTCTTAATTACACATTAATGTCTTAATTATATGCTTAGTTAGGCCAAAACAATGGTTTGAGTTAATTTAACTAGCTTTCTTTCTAAAATTTCTTTTTCAACATTTAGCTTAGTTTAATGGTGAAACATGAAACCATATATAAACAAATAAAAACAAATGTATAAAAATGTATATTTTATGTAAATATAAACCGTACATATTGTACAACTCAGAAACATGCACGTTCTAAATACATGAACCCTTGCAGATATATGGAGAAGAGGAATAACCTAATTTATTGATATTATTCTATAGAAAGAGCATCTTGAAATAAAATTTACGAGTTCAAATAAAGTTCCAATTGAATTCTTTATTTGCTCGAAGTGCTGGATTACAAACGACGAAGTTTACTGCAAAAAAAAACAGGTGGTTCTGTATCCTGTATTCTGTGTTCTGTATCCTGTATCCTGTGTTCAGTATCCTGTGTTCTGTATCCTGTGTTCTGTATCCTGTGTTCTGTATCATGTATCCTGCATTCTGTATCCTGTATCCTGTATCCTGTATCCTGTATCCTGTATCCTGTATACTGTATCCTGTATCCTGTATCCTGTATCCTGTATCCTGTATCCTGTATCCTGAATTCTGTATCCTGTATCCTGAATTCTGTATTGTTTGGAAACGTGTTGTTTTCAAACAATATATATGTATAGTTTACACTGTTCAGCGTATTATATAGTCACCTAGTGGTGTGAGGTATTGGGTAGGCGAAGCGGTCTGGATGGGAGGCTATCAGACTATTCTTTATATGTCGTCTTCCTACACCGTGAGCACCTAGAATAACAGACTGTAAAGCCTGAATCTCAAAAAAATGAAATTTAAAATAATAAAAAAAAAATTTAGTTTAAAGATAAATCCTATCATTGATATAAAGAATTATTAATCCCCCTCTCTTTAGTTTGATCCCCCGCCCAAGTTTTGAATCCTACCCTTCCATGGTTTAATCCATAACCTTGGTTTGAACTCTACCCTTGGTTAAATCTCTACCCTGGGATTAAACCCTACCCTTGGTTTGAACCCTCCCTTGGTGTAAACCCTACCCTTGGTTTGAACCCTACCCTTGGTTTGAACCCTACCCTTGGTTTGAACCCTCCCTTGGTTTGAACCCTCCCTTGATCTAAACGTATTACAGACAATGGTGTAAAATATTACCAAGTAGCACCAAAGTCTTTCTCTTAAACGCAGGAAGCTTGACAACCTAAATTTACAAAGCTTATTATGATGATTGTGCAATCTTGTGAATATAATATATTGAAAATTTGAACATTTGAAAGAAATATAGTAAAGTAAAACTGGTGGAAAAAATATGTCAAAAATTAAATCAGATTTATTACATGAATTTAAGTGTACAGTCCCTTTAATAAGAGTTCTGAATTTCTAATTTTTACCTCTTCATACGTGACTAGATCCAGTTGATCAAACACTGCATTATGTTTGGCTAAGTATTTATCCTAATATTTAAACATCAGTAATATTCAAGTTTTATAAGAGATCTTCAACCAAATAACATATGTGAATTAAATTCAAATATGAGACAAAAGTATTTTTTTATTTCAAATATTCATATTACACAATGATAACCAGAACACTCTGTCATAGGAAGAAGATTTTTAGAATCAATGAATATCCAAAGAGCATAAGACACAGTAATTGTGCAGTGTAAACAGACCCATTTAACTAAATCAGTGATTTAATAAGTGTCTAGCAAAGCATTTGCTTTGTAACAACAGCAAATAAACTTAATTATTTCTGTAATGTCGTCTTCCCTTTCCATTGTTTTCGGGTTATCACTGTAGTAATTTGTACAGAGTGTATTGTATCTCAAATATATACAGATTGTACACCAAATGTGTATTATTTATTAATTACAGAATGTTAGAGCAAACGTGTACCCTGGAAAATAACAGTAATAATTTTAGTGCTATATTATTCATAACAAATTAAAATTTAAAAATCTAAAATACTTTTCATTGCCCACAAACTGTGGTGCATAAATATTTAAAAAAAAATAGAAATTAATTGTACTTCTCTAAAAAGATGAAAGTTTAGAAACTGAATTTGATTTCGGAAATTACGTCCCTAGTAGGTTTTTAATAACATTGATTGTGTTCAGAAAAGGCATAAATTTGTATTTTAAAATATTACATAGTCAAACATTAGGATGGTAAAATTTGAAGAGGTATAGGTCGATAATGAAGTATTATCTGTTGTGACACGCACCTCTGCCCCTTTAGTAAATGAAAATTTAACCTATATGAAGCATAAAGTCTGACCGCGTAAACCTTGTTGTACCGGCTAGTCCTGTCCATAGAGCTGGTACAGTACAAACTGGGACCGGAAAGGTTGACCCGGCTCAGAAATTCAAATGTACTACGGCTGCCCGTGGTGAGTAAATGAAGTAAAACCTGAACCAGAAGTCGAAACTTTTAAGTAAAACAACGCTAACCTACAATGCTTGATTTCAAGATTAACTTTAACTTTTAAACTTTAAATTTTAAGGTAATGATCTTGATTCTTTAATTTATAATTAATCCTGTTCACATCAAACTAAAGTAAATTTCAAGTTCTATTGAACTCTTTTTAATCAAAACTCCCCTTACAGAAGAGCTAACGAACACACCAATAACGTGTTTTTAATTTGTAATCTGTAACAGAATATGTTTGCTTTCTCATACTTGAACGTGAATAAAAACTAGAGGAGATACAAGGTACATAAGTCCCTCCTGTAATCTGTAACAGAATATGTTTGCTTTCTCATACTTGAACGTGAATAAAAACTAGAGGAGATACAAGGTCAATAAGTTCCTCCTGTAATTAAGTATTCAAGAGGAATTAATTTAAATCTTCGAATAATGATGTGGATTAATAACTGCTTAATCCCGGGATCCAGAACACAAAACTTATTTAAATTATAATGTTTAAATTCCTTGAGTATTCTTTTCTTCTTTCCAAATATTGAACAGTTTATCTGTTCTTTCTTAGAACTTTCCTGTGTCTGACAAGCTATCCGCCATTCCTAAATTTGGGAAATTTTAAATTAAGAAATTATGTTATGTTTTTAAATTTATCAATTGTTTGTATCTAATTGTATCTAATTGTATCTAATTGTATATAATTGTATCTAATTGTATCTAATATGTATATAATTGTATCTAATTGTATCTAATTGTATCTAATTGTATCTTATTGTGTCTAATTAAATAATTAAATCTAATTGTATCTTTTTGTATCTTTAAGGGCAGTTTGAATTGCACCCTGCGACCGACGGGGTTCCCGACGCTCTATTATCCTAGTACGTGAAGCGATCCGACTGGCAAGCACATTTTTGGAACAGCAACAGTGTCCATACAGTATCTAACAGTACATAACACATACAGTCTATCTAACTGTATCTAGAAATATCTAACAGTAGCTAACAGTATCTAACAGTATCTTACAGTATCTAACAGTATCTAATAGTATCTAATAGTATCTAACAGTATCTAACAGTATCTAACAGTATCTAATAGTATCTTACTGTATCTAACAGTATCTAACAGTATCTAATAGTATCTAACAGTATCTAACAGTATCTAACAGTATCTAACAGTATCTAACAGTATATATCTGTATCTGTATCCTATCGACTAAAACTCTATATATAAAATATACCTCAATGGTATTCCTATCATGAACCCCAGCCCCAGAACGTAATATTTCATATTTAGAACTTTATTTACCTTCCAAAGAAAAAAGATTTATTCTAAATTTCATTTATTTCCTAAAATATTAGGTTTCAAATTTGTTTTTGTAATAAATATAACCCTTCCTTTACAGTGTGAATAAAAAACCCGGAATTATCGATGTTTTGTTCAAAAATTTTTATTTTGTTCGGATTTTAAGCTTTACAAAAAAATGTGATAAATAAAACAAACAAAAAATATTTTTGGTACCATGGAAAATAAATTCGCGAAACCAATTTTTAAATTGTTGGGAAAATGTGTATTCTTTCAAAAATTGAATGAGATATACCAAAAAATGAAAGCCAATTATTTCAGAGTCAGAACAGTTCAAGGATATAATTTAATTGAAAACATTTGATGCAAATTTACATTCAAAATATTTTTTATGCCTCAACAAAAATTTAGAAAATTTTGTCCAAAACATCAATATAATCCCATTTTTTTACTCACCCTGTATACATTTGATTTTGAAGTTCAAAATCTTGCTTTTTATATTAGTTTGCTCGGATGAAGGATTGCTGTATAAAATGTATAAAATGTATAAAATGTATAAAATGTATAAAATGGTAGGAAAGTAGGAAAAGAACCCTAGGATAAAACTCTATGCAAGCAAAACCATATTCAATATTCAATCTTTCAGGTATTGAGCACTTCTTACAAAACAAAGTTAAACATTATAGTACTGCAGGATAAAGAGAAAGCTATAAAGATTACAGTAAAAGGATTTCCATAAGAAAAAAACTAATCAATCTATATATATAATAAAACGAGACATTCCTATATATATCACCGATAGCCGGCCAAACGGCTGGACCGATTGGGCTGAGATTTTTTTTGGACACTCATGGGTGGCCGTGGGGTGTTTTAGGTTTTTAAAACTATTTTAAAAAAATTTTTTTTCCACGGGCAACTCCGGGCCCTTCAGCAAGTATTCTATAAAGTAATATTTCTCTTAATATAAGGAAACGCTTTTGTTTTTAAGAAAAAAATATTTACAGAAAAGGGTATTTAACCTGTAAGCATTTACTTTCTAGCCAAAAGAAGTTTACTATTTTTTTTTTTTGGGGGGGGGGAGGTTTTCTATTTATCTACTAGCTTGGGAACCCAGCGCTGCCAAGATTACCAAAAGTTACTTTCGCCATTTACCCTCACTTGAAAAATTTTCGCAATTAGAGTCGACCCACTCAACTTAGAATCTCAAAACCAAGCTAAGAACATTCCCATGGCTCTCCCGAGTTCCCCAATCAAAAATTGAGACAAATCGGTCTAGGGGTTTTCGAGTTATGATCGGACAAACAAACAAACTGACAAACTTTATATAGATGATTACATGAAGGTTCATAAGGAACATATGCTTTGCTTAATTTTAATATTGTTTAGCTGAATGTTGGTATAAGCCACTGTCATTTTCTCCTTTTAAAAATGAAGGTCTCTAGTTTGGACTTGTGAAAGGTGTTTGATATCTAAATATAACTATCAAAATAATAGTTCGCTTATTTGAATTCTGAACACAACTTTTCATTTGTTTAGATCAATTATTCTTCTTCTTCAAAACTATTTATTGTAGAGTTTAGTATTTAACAAAAATGTGAAATATATAATTATGGAACATATATACTATACTCTGGCTTTTCACTTTGCCCACTTAAAGTAAAGTGGGTAGTTTAGATACATCATTAGGCTAGTAGGAAATTCACGAGATTTATTGACTAACTAAAAAAGATTTTTCTGCAAGTTTGGCACCGATTGCACAGCTCGTAGATATGTAAGGTACATAGCTAAGATAAATAGATATAGAATACTAAAATATTATCTCTTTGGGAAAAATAAAACGCTTTTCGCAAACAGATAACGGTTTCTGCATAAAATTTGACAGATTGAGATTCAAATTAAAAGTATCAGTTTAATTCAAGATGGCTTTTCGCAACAATTTCTAAAATTTAAAATACAAAAATACAAAAATGCTTTGGGTTTTGGCATCAGGTTTTAAAGGTGAAATTATGTCAGTGAAATACTCTTTATTAGAAAACCTGTCTGGGGTAGCACAGAATATTGTTAATATAAGAAATATCAAATTGAGCAATCTTAATTTCCTTCAACAATCAAATTCTCAAAATTGACAAAAATAAGTGAAAAACGAGATGGATATTTTTAAAGAAAGTATCTATCCCGTTTTTCTTACTCGGTTTTTATCAATTTTATGTTTATTTAAAATATATGAATACATTTTACCTGTAATTCAGGGCTTGGTATCAGTCCAGCTGAGCTCGCTGCCGCCATTTTCCTCGCCTGCCACCAGTTGTGGTCGTCTTTGCTGATTATTTGAAGAATATCGCCAATGTTAAATGGAATACCCGCCTGTGTAACAATATTGGATTATTGCTATTTTGAATAGATTTCTCAGAGATCTACAGATACTAGAATTTTGCGTCAATTTCAAAACCAAGTTGACTTTGAAGTGTTGCAACGTCGGCCTCATTGGCTTCAACTTAAACACGCTTTCATCAAGCTTTAGTTTAAAACAATTTACAAAATCCGGATAAAGTTATGCTTCAGAGTGTGCACATTTTAGTTCTTAATATAATAGCTTTAAATTTATATCTATAACCTTTATACTTTTGTTATTGTTTGCACGAAAGAAACTTTACTCAGTCGTCAATACAATATATCAATGCAATGAAGACGACTTTTGATTTCTACTAAGCTTATAAACAGGTTGGACAAACATAAAAATGGAAACAAAGAGATGCTGTTAATTAACAGATTCAACCAGCTTGGGAACAAAGAGATGCTGTTAATTAACAGATTCAAACAGCTTGGGAACAAAGAGATGCTGTTAATTAACAGATTCAAACAGATTGGGAACAAAGAGATGCTGTTAATTAACAGATTCAAACAGTTTGGGAACAAAGAGATGCTGTTAATTAACAGATTCACACAGCTTGGGAACAAAAAGATGCTGTTAATTAACAGATTCAACCAGCTTGGGAACAAAGAGATGCTGTTAATTAACAGATTCAACCAGCTTCGGAACACAGAGATGCTGTTAATTAACAGATTCAACCAGCTTGGGAACAAAGAGATGCTGTCAATAAAGAGATTTTTAAATGTTTACTTTTTAACTTACAATTTGATAAAAAGCTTGTTAATAATAAAAACGTAAAAAAGAAAAGTCGTCTTCATTGTATTGATATAAATGCCGATCACTGTATTGAAATAAAATTAATGATTTTAATTTTAAATAAATGTTCTCACTTGGGGTGCATATATATCTAAGAGAATACAGACTGCGTTTGAACATGGTATGTAAATATATAATTTCCAGTAATATCTTTTATGTCTATTGTTGCCCACCACACAACACTCATTGTTTTAACACGGAAATACATAAAGAAGATCAGCAGTCAGCAGTTTTCTATTTAGGCAAACAAAAATAAGTAAAAGTTATAGAAGGCAATAGGCTTTTTCAGCAATACGGAACGAATTGATAATAGGTTTATAAATCAATCAAAACTCCTCTTAGAGAGAAAAAGAAAATGTTTTAAATTTCTAATATGCAACAAGATTAACAGTTGCGTTTCTCAGTCTTGTGCCTTAAATATAAACTGGAGAAGTTACGAGGTCACAAAGTCGTAATATCTTCTTCTGTCTAGTTCACAGTAAATATTATGTAAGCTATTTTATCGCCACTTTTGTATGTTCGTTTTCTTGAAGACATGGAATAAATTCCCCCCCCCCTCCTCCAACAGCAGAAAATATGTAAAACTAGCTGAAGTATCCGGAAAGAATTCACGGTATTAAAGGGTTCCCTAACAACATGTTACGCCATTCGGTCCAGCCATTTGGCCAGCTATAGCTGACACATAAATATATATATATACATACATACATCCTAATATATATATATATGAGCGATCGAGCTTTATTATATAGATATACCTGGGCGCAAGGTATAAGGTCGTCTTCTAAAGGATCATATTCAAATTGTGCTCTAACAAATATATCGCAGGGTGGAGGTGCAGATCGGTAGGAAGGAACAATCTGAAAATAAGATTTTTTTTAATGACCCTGCCTTAAACAGCTTGAAATGTTGTAAAACTGCCTGGTTACCTTGAATGTGACGCTACCCCTGGCTTCTCTGAGCAGTTTCTGAAGAGACTCTATAGATTGGTTTGCAACACTAATCCCATTTATTTCTCTAATCTCATCTCCGACATGTAGTGTTGCCTAGATATCAAATATATGTATATATAACTATCTACATGTATGGTTGCCTAGATATCAAATATATATCTATCTAGAGATAAAAAACTTTTCAACACATTTTTCTATCGATTTTTACAAAATGAATTTCAAAGTAAGAAAGTAAAAAAAAAATATTCTTCCCCCCTCCCCCCCCCTCTTCTATAATCCAAAGTGAAAGCCTACTAACCTGTCTATGTATCATGCCACCATGCATTATCCTCCCTACAATACACTTCCCTAAAATATATATTCATATATGTTTATTAATGTGATAAAGGGAAGAGAGAAAATTATATCATTATTATGTTGTCAATAAGAAACTTTTTGTGTTGCCAAGGAAAACACTGTTTTGTAGAATGTCGAGGGATCCAAGTTCCAACATACTCTTTATGTATTATATCATCTATAATGCTTTAACCTCGACCTTATATGAATATAAAAGTTATCCCAAACGTCAGAACTATATAGCACATAAATTCCATATTCACGCGGAAACTTTAGATTGAAAGCGATTAAGTGTCTCAACTATGAAAGCTGACATGTACATTTGAAATCTCTTATATACCAATTTTTTAGCCTTCTTATTTGTCAAGAATTCTAGTATCTCTTGTTTATTCTTCAGGAGTTTACGTTATCCGTCTAAAACGAAAAGTACGCACTAGAATGCCAAATGCAAAATGTCGGTCTCTGGATCCATTTTTGACCTTAAACACTTTTATCTTCCGGATTAATGTTAAAGCAAACTGCATGATAAGCAAAAAATAAATTGTTTTTAACCCAACCCTCCCTGTTTGATTCTAATTCAGGGGAGAATAATTTGAAATCATGATTTCCCTTCAAAAGTGATAAGTTGTTAGTTCCGTTTTCTTAATTCCATTATGTAAAATGTACAATATGAATCTGGGATTGGAAGAAAGTCGCAAAGGAATTGAGTTTTTGCCACAACCTTTGATTCTTTAATTTGTGTTTACTTGTCGCTAATCTGTAGACATTTTTAATCCTGACAAATTATCTTAATTCTAAAAAAAATTCTCTGAGAGAAAACGCTCTAGAAAAGAGTGTTAGTTCGAAAGAATCTGAAATCTTCATCCAAGAGATTTCTATTCTACCCTGTATATTTCTATTTATTCTGCAGACTGCAGATTCTATTTATCATGAAAAGAGACATTAATTACAATCTGTATCAGAGCAATTACTTAAATAAAGGAGAGGGGGGAGGCAATGGAAGAAAGAACAAAAAAATGGAATTTGACAAGAAAGAGGAGGTGGCGGTTGGGGGGAGGGGGAGCACCAATTAAGTGGAATAGAGCAAAGAAAAAGTAGGGGGAGGGGCAATGAAAGAACAATAAAGGATGTGATAAAATTTGTATGAGGAGGAGGGGGTGAGGGCAGGAATTTAAAGAACAAAACAGAAAGTAAGAGAGAGACGGCTTGGAAAAAAAGGTTTTACAGGATAAGGAAGAGGATGAGGAGAAGGGGAGGGGGGCGGGGTGCAAGTAGGGGAAAGCAATACTTATGAGGAAAGAAAGAAGCAGAAATAATTGAAGAGAGTATAATGAATAAGGGGGGGGAGGGTGGAGGAATGGGCGGGATGGAAATGAAGGGGTGATGGAATATGGAGGGGTGATGGAGGAATACGGAAGGGGAAGTTAGATAAGAGAGGCAGTTGGAAAATTGAATAAAAACTTTGTTAATTTCCAGAAAATAGGATTGTACCCAGAAAATAAAAAAATACTATAACATCACAGAGAAGAGTCCGCAGGAATTTTTAAAATTCCGAAAAAGTGAAAATAGATTATAGATTATTATCTTGTTATGAGAAAGTTTGAAATTTAATTCAAAATGGGCCCACATAGAGCATAAAAATCGAAGGAACAATATCACCGTAGAAAAATCCAAGACATACATTACAAACAAAGCTAGGAGATTCCCTTTCAGATTTAAAACCTTCGACCTTGAATGTTACAAACCTACATTAAACACTAATAAAAACAGAATTATTGTCACCTCAACTTGTCTTTTGTCACTTATTAAAAAATGTTCAAGAATTACCAATGTAGTAAATGCTGTACTCTTAAAACTTTGCCTAGAACTGTATCAGTCCAGGTACAACCCATCAGCTATAAATGTCAACCAGGACACAAACTCTTCAGCGATCAATGTCAAGCCAATGAACACAATCTTATCGGCTCTAAATGTCACACAGGGACACAAGCGTAGCTATCAAACAAGCTCTGAATCGATCAATGCCAAATCTCTAGACGCAATTTCAGCTTGAATGTTTCGACAAGGACTATTCGGCTCTAAATGTCACACAGGGACACAAGCGTAGCTATCAAACAAGATCTGAATCGATCAATGCCAAATCTCAAGCAATGATCCCAGCTCGTATGTTACAACCAGTACAAAATTACTCTCAACACCGTTTAATGTGGAGTCTCTATATAAACTAATTTATTATAGATAACTTATTTTACAAGTTAACTTGATTCGACGTGATTACAAGTTCTATGTCGATATATTTAAGTTTAATGTACGTATTTATAAGACTAAAAATTCAAGGCGCTTCGCGCCATTCTTTCTAGGCTTTTAGGGCGCTTCGCGCCCATCTTCTATTTTAATTGTGAACATGTTCTTTTTGTTTACATTTCAAAACAAAGATGAAAAAAATTTTGCGGATTTTTAAAAAAAAATTCGCGGATTTTCAAAAATTTAATTTTTTTACAAAATTAAAAACCTTTAAAACACAAATTTTTAAAATTTCAATCATAAACCTTCCCTGGGGTCCCAAGATGTCCCACAAAAAATCGGTTCAGCCGTTTTGACGTTTATTGGATACAAACAGACAAACAAACAAACACCCAAACAGACAAGCCAAATTTATATATAGATTAGCGAGAATAGATATAACGTAGTTAAGCTATCTTCACATATATAAATTTTTTTGAATATACGTATTTAGAAGATTAACATATAGATATAAACGTAGTTAATCTAATCACAAAGCATGTTTTAATCATGTTACATAGCTCATGTATATCTAGGTATGTTCAGGTTAACAAATATGGGGATTGCTGTATTTATCACAAACCCAGCTACCCAGCTATGGGTATTTATTTCAAAATACCAGAATGAGCGAAAACAACAATCACTCCGCTGTTTCAACCCATATTTCGAGAACATGTCGACATGGACGTTTATAATTTTTAAACATTTTTTGAGACTTTGTGATTAGAAAAAAATATGTCTATTCAGATCGACTGCAGGTAAATTTTCTACAAATAGGAACTTAGTTCTAGACACAGATGTTTTAATCCCTATCCTAAGTCGTAGAATTCTGATAATTAATGTTAGATAAAATAGTTTGAAATATCAAAGATTTACATCCTAAGGTTGGAAAGATGCATGGATTATAAATTTGGAACTCAGATACTTTGCTTATGTAAGTAAGAAGTCAATATTAATATACGTTGCTTAAAGTAGAACCTCCTTATCTTGCTAACATTGGCTATAAAACTAGAGTTTCTCCTTTTAATGAATAAATAAATATATAACGATGTTTATAAAAACATATTGATTCCATTTATTCCCGTGGGAGGATACATAATCCTCTCCTAATTAGATAACTAACCCCATTTACATACTCTTCTACTCATTCACTCTAAACTTTTTACATCATCCTCCCTTAACTAACCCCCCTCTCCCCTCGAAATCCCCTTTATTTTTCCCATATTCAAGGTCAAAACTCATCAAAACTCATTTTTCCCATCCAAATCAAAACTCCTTATTCCCATCCTTTTCAGAACTCATTTTTCCCATCCTAATCAAAACTCCTTATTCCCATCCTTTTCAGAACTTATTCTTCCCATCCTCGTCAAATCTCCTTCTTCCCATCCTTTTCAGAACTTATTCTTCCCATCCTCGTCAAATCTTCTTCTTCCCATCCTTTTCAGAACTTATTCTTCCCATCCTCGTCAAATCTTCTTCTTCCCATCCTTTCCAGAACTCATTCTTCCCATCCTCGTCAAATCTCCTTCTTCCCATCCTTTTCAGAGCTCATTCTTCCCATCCTAATCAAAACTCCCTTTTCGCATCCTTTTCAGAACTCATTTTTCCCATCCTAATCAAAATTCCTTCTTCCCATTCTTTTCAGAACTCATTTTTCCCATCCTAATCAAAACTCCTTCTTCCCATCCTTTTCAGAACTCATTTTTCCCATCCTAATCAAAACTCCTTCTTTCCATCATTTTCAGAACTTATTCTTCCCATCCTCGTCAAATCTCCTTCTTCCCATCCTAATCAAAACTCCATCTTCCCATCCTAATCAAAACTCCTTCTTCCCATCCTTTTCTGAGCTCATTCTTCCCATCCTCGTCAAAAGGTAAGGGAGTGTTAAGAAAATTACTTTCTTGAGGCTGAGGTTAGTGGGTTGAGCAATGCCGCCATCGTTGTATTATATTTTTTGTCTTATTTTTCAAGAAATAAATTTTTCTAAGGATTAACAGTTTTTATAAATAAATTAAAATTATGAACAGAATAGTTTTGTTTCAACAATTACAGAATAAACCCGTTTCATTTCATGAGTTAAAGAAGAAATGTCATCATTCCACAGTTTTCTGGTTATTATTGTACAGGGTGTCCCAAAAAACATGGGAATTAAGTGACGAATTCGATATCGTCTTTGTTATGAATTAGCATTGTAATACCTAATTTCAAAAGCCATAATATTATTATGTCTGCTAGAGTTTATTTAATGAATAGGGTAAAAGACTGAAAAGATGTGTCTATAATGTCTCCGCAAGATGAACAGTGAATATGGACAAGTTTACTCTGTTTGTATACTGTAATTTTCTTGTTTTACCAAGTACAACCGGTTGCAGTCAAAACATAAACAAACAAAATGTAAACATAGCAGACGAAACTCTTACAGATTACAGCTTTCTCAGTAGGTATCACTATACTAAATCAAAGAATTATTCATAAAGACGATATCGAATTCGTCACTGAATTCCCATGTTTTTTGGGACACCTTGTAGTATAATTATAGATCAGGAGTCAAATAAAAAAATAAAGAAAAAAAAAATAAGAAATTAGTCTACATAAACTTTCCTTGTCGATGCAAAGGAAAGCAAAAATGTAATTTTTTGAAAAGTATTTTAATTAAATAATTATTACACAGTACACATATTTCCAGTTTTTGATTTGATCATGCAGCTAAACTAAGAAAAAATGTCCAACGGATCTAAAAGCAACTTAAAGGAATTGAAAATGAAGTTTTAAATAAAACGAAGTTTTAAATACGAAGTTTTAAAAAAACTTCAATTTTGAGGTAAACTAATAAAACGTCAGAAAACTGACAAAATCAGTTCTTTCAATTGTATTTCTTTACTGATTAATCTTGCAAAATGATCCAAATTCAAGTTTCTTAAATGTTTTCACTTTAAAGTTACGTTAACAATTCCTTTAAAGTTTAAGAAAATAAATATAAATTAAGCTAAATATACTTTTTATCAGGAAACGTTTAATTATTTAATTTAGTGAAATAATTTAGGAATAAAGATGGCCATTTATACTTTATTCAGAGATTTTTTAAAATATTCTGTTAAACTTCAGCTTCACCTAAAAAGGGGAGATTCTTAGTCATGCTCAACATTTTTGTGTCTAATAAAAGTAGTAAAAAATCTAGAATCTTCAATTCTTTTAGATTAAATTTAATCCTGGTTTTGAAACTGCTCTGTATTAGCAAAAACAAATCGACTGTTAGTAAACAATAACAAACTGCAGTAAGTTAGTCAGTTAAGAGAAGTACTCTGACATGCTATAACAATGAATAATGTTTTGTTAAAAATGATAAAAATCTAAAATTAATGAAGTTTGCATTCTAACAGATCTGAAAGGAAGGAAAGGATTACTAACCTAGTTCTGAGGAATTTTGAAAATAATCCAAATTTTCAATGGCCATCTCTATATTAAAACAGTTAAAATTAAAATAAATTACGGCGAGTTTAAAACTAAAGATTTAACAAGGATATCCTACCTTCTTCATTGAGCTTTAGCGTGATACCCATAGGTTCATCGGTATTTCGTTGGAACTGAACAAGACGCACCCTCGTCACATTCTCAACCTGAACATTTCTGGAGGTCATCAATTAGGTCATTGAACATTGCTAGAAGTCACGAGGTAGGCCATTGAACATTGCTAGATGTCAATAGGTAGGTCATTGAAGGTTGCTGGATATCAATGGGTAGATCATTGCACGTTGCTGAGTGTCAATAGGTAGGTAATTGAACATTGCTAGAAGTCATGAGGTAGGCCATTGAACATTGCTAGATGTCAATAGGTAGGTCATTGAAGGTTGCTGGATATCAATGGGTAGATCATTGCACGTTGCTGGATGTCAATAGGTAGGTAATTGAAAATTGCTAGATGTCAATAAGTAGATCATTGCACGTTGCTAGAGGTCAATAGGTAGGTCATTGAAAATTGCTAGATGTCAATAGGTAGGTCATTGAACATTGCTAGATGGCAATAGGTAGGTCATTGAACATTGCTAGATGTCAATAGGTAGGTCATTGCACGTTGCGGGATGTCACGAGATTGGTCATTGAATAATGAACATTGTTTGAGGTCACGGAGTAGGTCAGTGGACATTGTTCGAGGTCATGGGTTAGGTCATTGAACAATGTTAGAGGTCAGAAGTTCGATCGTTGAACAATGCTAGAGGTCAGGAGTTTGATCATTTAACAATACTGGAGGTCAAGAAGTAGGTCATCAAATATTGCTAGTGGTCACATGCTAGGTCATTGAACATTGCTGGATGTTACGTGCTAGGTAATTGAACATTGCTGAATGTCCACAGGTAGTCCATTGAACATTGCTGGATGTCACTAGGTTGGTCATTGAACATTAGTTGAGATCAAGATGTCAACCACTAATGATTGCCGGAGGTCACAGGTTACAGGTCAATGAACATTGTTAGAGGTCATGACTAGTACTTGGTGGACCATATTTGATATTTCTGGAGATTTTTAGGTAGGACATTTAGGATTGCTTCTAGGAGGTCCCTAGGTAGGTCCATGGACATTGATTGAGGTAATTAATTTATTTAGTTTCTATTGAGCTTATTTCAACTCAGAATGTTGAGTGTAATTTGTAAGAATACTGTTAAAACCTTAACCATTATTACTGTGAATTGTTATCTTCAATATTAAATCGTTGATCAAATAAAACCTACTTAAATCATTTTGAAAATTCAAACATTTTTTGATTTTTTACTTTTTGTTTTATTCATGTTTAGACTGCGAACATCCAACTTTTTACTAATTACTACGTATTGAAAGAACCGAATACATAAAATTCGATGCGCAAGTGTACCCTGTTTCGTTGAACTTATTTTGTATAAAGTTCTCATGTACCTTCTGACTGTACTGGTTGTCGAGTGTAGACCGTCCTGCCGTTTCTAAACTTCGTCCTTGTACATAGGATGGGTACATGATCTCATTTAGATTATCCTGACACAACAAATACCAATTATTCGAACATTTGGTTTGGACATTTTTTTCATGTCTTGGAGCCAAAATTGAGCAAAATTCCAAAAACAAATCTGATTGATTTTTTCCCCAATAATTTTTGGCCATATTTCTATATTTTTAAAAAAACAAAAATATGAAGCTTTGGACACAAACTTAATGTTTAAAAAAGTAAATTTTAAAACGCTTATTTGTAATTTGTACAATGGAATAGTGCATAAATGTGCAAAAATGGTGCAGAAATTTGTAAATGTGAAATATTGGTGCAAATTGGGGGGGGGGGGGGGGGTTTGGCTTGGGTTGCAAAAAATAAAATCTCTTTATTTATGAGTGACGATTGAAAATTAATATTGTTTCATTTAAATTGGATGCTTTCTTGTGTGTAAGTTTTATTTTTAAAATTGCTATTGTAAAAATAGTACTCATATTTAGTGCTATTTGTAAATGCATAGGGTTGCTAATGATGATACGTGCACAGTGCTATATATAAGGCTTTGCTGATCCCCAATATGATCTATGGCCTGATTATAAGCTTTACTAGTCACCTCACTCTAAACTGGAAGCAAGGCACCCTAGCAGTATTACCAGAACGAGTTTGTGACCTCATAGCTCTTTAGATTTAATTTTACGAACAAGTGTAAGAGAGCAGCAAATTTGTTTGGTTACGTATTAGAATTAAGAAATGCAATTGTCTGATTCAGTGGCAGGAATTAACTATTGTGGTGCTGATAGATAGAGCAGCATTATTTTAATATGAAATTATTTTTACGTTTTTATTATTAAAATGTGTACATAGTAAAAACTGAAAAGAGGTATTATTGTGTGCTCTTAAATGTGTGTTTATGTGACTTAAAAAATGGTTTTTGAGAAAAAGGGAGTGCGCTTGAATATAAGGAGGACAGTCTACACAAGACAACAAGAACTAAGAGAAAACAAAACAAATAAAAAAATCAATGATCACAAAAATACGTCTTAAAATTATCCTATGCGTCGGGAACTTAAGTTTAGGTCGGACTTTAAAATATCGACTTAAATTCCCGGTTTAGGTTAATCTTAAATTTAGTTTGTTTTCTTAGCAAGACCTATAGTTATCTAGCACTGACGTTCTCTGATCAGTAAGAAAACTAATTCATTGATTTCAATTCTGAACTATTTCTCTCCCTATTATTCTAAGTTCTTGATTACTTCCCACCCCCCCCCCTCCTCCCTTTCCACGGACTTACATCAGGACATTCTCCATTAGGACCTTCTACCTCGTCCCCCAGGGTCAAGGAGATGGTGGAGTGGGGCGGGGTCACCCTCACCGCCTCCTCGCCATACACCTCGTGAGCAACAACATCATGAGCCTAAATATACTTATTATAAGTTTTTTTTTAATTTAACTAGTTTCAAACCATCTAAGATTATAAAACTATGAAACTATCGCGCCTAGTTGCTTCATTCCATTTGGTCTTTTAATTATAAAGAATTTAGCACGTTTACAGGACTTTTTACATTTGTTATTTTTTAATTAAAAAAATATGGCACGTTTATAGGACTTTTTACATTTGTTATTTTTTAAAAAGAAAGAATTTGGCACGTTTATGGGACTTTTTACATCTGTTATTTTTTAATAAGAAAGAATTTGCACGTTTATGGGACTTATTACATCTGTTATTTTTTGATAAGAAAGAATTTGGCACGTTTATAGGACTTTTTACATTCGCTATTTTTTAATTTTTGTGTCGAACTAAAAGCTGAGTTAAGATTTGAAAATTTCCGTTAATTATTTAATCCTTCGTTCGTTACCGGAACTCTGCCAAGCCTTACACGATCTAACTTATGGATTTTATTTTTAAATACAAAAATAATGTTTTTTTTTAAAGAATTCTTTATTCTCGGGAGGAAATACATGAGGATTCTAGTCTAACTAGGCAAATATTTTCTCGAAAATACTTTTATTTTAGAAAGAGCATTTACAGCGGTGCAGCGTGGTGTAATCACATAAAATGTAACATTTATATAAATGGAAAATTACAAAATACTCGGGGAACTCTTATCTTTTCATTCAAGGAGAAAACTAAATATATTGGGAGGCACACCACACTAAAATTGCATGGTCCATGCCGTTACAACATATGTTCTGTATATGCATTCAGTCGTACTGTCCAGTTCGGTTTACAAAGTTATAATTCTTAATTTTTTATGTTTATTTTTAGTTGTGAAAACGTTTTGGGAGGTTTTATTGTATCTAATTCAATATCTTTCCATTGGCAACTCTAAGTTTTGTCCTTTATTTCTTTTGTATTATACAATCATTTTTACTGTGATACATGTCTCAATCAAATGCTTTTTTTTCATTCATGTCAAAATTGTCTGCATGTCTATACACTACGCACAACACATGTCTACATATTATTGTGCCTAGATGTCTGCATTACAAATATATACATGTCTAAAAGTAAGGACAGATGTATTTCTTTAACGGTCCTAAATTAAACGTCCGCAGACGTTTAAATTAGCATTAAATGAACTAATTACGATCGAATCAGTGTTTACGAAAAAACATTAGTTTTAAGTTTAATTTTACTCGATATTATAAATGTCCTACTTATTAAGTCTCCGTAAGGCTTGAATTGAGTAAACAATGAAGTCGATCAGATTTTTAAAAATCCTTGGTTTAGAACCGTGAACTAAAAATGTTTAGGAAAATTAGATAAACAGACTTGAAATAAATGGTTGAAGTCGCTGAGCGTCCTGAATGTCTAGTTTACAAATATTTGCTAAATAAGATAAAATAGAAAGAGAATCTAATGTGAGACTGAGAAACCATTCTGTCTAGTTTCCCAGTAAAACTTTATTTTTCCTTTAAATTTTGTGAAACTGAGGAGAAAGTTTGAAATTGTTTGAAAACTATGCAAACCAGAGTCTTAATATCCCATCTTTACTCTTTACACTTTACCAACACATTTATATCATTTCCACCATACAAGGGGTATCACGGCCGGGACGGGCCAGGGGGTACAAAAGGCGCGAATAAAGCAATACAAATTATGAAAATTGAAATCATTTCTGATTTTGGGTTTTTCAATTCTGAACTGGAAAGGAGTTGAGTCTTTGCAACAAACTCGAATTTTCTAATCCCTATATCTGTACATCCTGACAGTCCATACCTATGACATTTCAAACTAAGATCATTTGATCTAACAGAATTTATAGTTTGAAATATATAAGGTCTACGGCATTGGATGGCAAAGATATTAGGATTAGAACATCAGAATTTGTGGCAAAAACTCAATTCCCTTATGTGACGGATCGGTGAATCCTTAAGTTTAATCTTCGCGCGCAAATAACAGTAGTAGATTTTGCGTCTAAGGTTTTGCCAACACAATAAAGTTTAAGAGATCAAAAAGTTGTAGTTTGAAATATCGAAGCTTTACCTCATGAGGTTTCAAAGATTACAGGAGTTATAAATCATAGTTTGTGACATCAAGTCAGATCCTTTTAACTGTTCTACTTGGTGATAACGTTCGAAAAGTTTATTTTTTCATTTTTTATTCAAGGAATCTGTGACGAAAAAATTGGGGTGATTGTTTTTTTTACCCGTCTCCTCTTTACATAAATATAGTGTAGGGTAGTGTAGTGTAGTGTAGTGTAGTGTAGTGTAGTGTAGTGTAGTGTAGTGTAGTGTAGTGTACCTCTAGGTAATTAAGGGCTGTTAATCCATCCTTCAGTTTTTCACAAGCATCTGATGGAGGAAATCTAAACAAAACGTTTCTGATTTTCTAAAAAACTTCAAATATTCAAAAATCTAGCTTGAATTAGTAAATTATAAATATACTTTAGTCGAAAGCGACAAAAATTAATTTATACAGTACTGTACAGTACAGTACATGTGTGTACCTGAAAGGTCTGTATGTATTTGTGCTGATTTGATCGTAAAGATTTAGAAGAGTTTGGAGTTGTTCATCTTCAAGTATAGCAGACAGAAACTCCTAAACCAATTAATTTATGCATTATCTTGATATAAACAATACAGTGTAAATAAAACATTTAAACGTTTTGGGTTAGCCACAAAGAGTAAGACTTAAAGGGAGTGTTCGCGAAAAATGAAAGGGGGTATAGGCTTAATGCGATAAAAAAGCGCTTTTGATCACTACTAATCTTACTTCCATCTGTTGCGTCTATAAGGAGAAAATTGTTAAAGACGTCTCATACCGAATAACATGGCGTCCATACAAATTGAGAAAATTGCAACATACGACTTAGACCGTAAAAAAATCAATTTAATTTCAAACAAATCATTCAGATATTAC